CTTCTTCTGTCTCATCTTCGCGTGTCCGAAGATGGGGCTGTCGGACAAGCAAACGTGAAGCCCTGTCCAAAGGGGAAATCTGTTTTATCAAACACGGAGCACAGCCTCTGCCAGCATCAGCATGACCCAAGAGTCACTAGCCCGGGAAAGGGGTTGTGACCATGAAGAGATTGGCGTAAACACCAATCGCAGCTGAGTCTTTGAAGGTTGACTTGAATCTGGAAAGCTCCAGTATCTCAGATGCACTGGGCTCCATGGCTGATACCATTCTGTACGCAAGGTATGCCTTCCAGACGATGCTGCTGTCATCTGCAGAGTACTTGTTCCACTGCGCCATATCAGTGAGAGACACACCTGCGGTGGACTTGCTGATGAGCGCGCTGCAAACTGCAAAACAGTCATTAGCTATGCCACGCTGCTCCTCGTTGAATGTCTCAGCGACTGTTGGGATGTTAACGTTGTTCTGGAGCACGCTGTCTTTTGTGTTCTTCTTGGTACTCCCAAACAGGGTAGACATAGTCTCGCCTGTCAATGCCTGCTGAGACCCGAGCACGGTCTTGAGCATGTTTGTTGTTTGACCAGATGCTATCTCGTAAAGCACCTTTGTTCCGTTGTGAACCTGCTGGTCGCTGAGCGAGCCAAGAGCATGCGCTCCGCTAACGGCTGCTAGCGCGCCAACCATCGCTGCTTCGCCTACCTGATCTACCTTGCCGCCCAGGTTCTTGATCTCAGAGCTCATATGGGATAAGGCTCTCTGCTGGGTATCTTGCTTGGTCATGAAGTGGGAGAATTTATCCAGTAGCTCTGCATGATCGCTCTTCACAACACCAAGCAGGTAAATCGGATCGTGCTTACGCTCATCTTCCTCTAGGCTCGCAAGTTCTCGCTCAAGAATCCTCACCTTGTCGGCCAGGATCTCTTTCAAGTTGGCAACATCGCTTGGCGCGGCTTGCGTGTTCAGTGCGAACACATGAGCGGTTTCCAACTTTCCATCTTCAATGATCTTAATGGCTTCGCTCATGACTGCTTTAGACTGGTTCCCGTCTGCGCTAGCATTTCCTGCCAATCCGCTTGTGAGAAGCTTGGCGCGGGCGAAGAGCTCAAGTTTTTGCTTGATCCGCTCTTTGTCAGCTGCATAGTTTTTCGTCTGCTGCTGCAAAGCACCTGCGTTGCTGCCAGGTGCTCCTGATGAGGGCCCAGTAGCTTGTGCAGCCATGTATCCAGGTGATAGGAAAGGGCTGGCTGGTGCACCAAGTTGGGGGTGGACCCCTGATGGGCTAGGATTTGGAGCAAATGCAGGCTGTCCTGCTGCCGCTAGCGGGTCAGGAACTTGGGCAGGCGGAGCTGCCCCGAAAAAGCCAGATCCAGGCGGCACTGTAACCGCTGGTGGAACAGTAAAACCTGGCACACCTGATTGCAGTGGCCCTGTGGTGCCAGTGATGTTGAATGCAGATAAAGGGTTCTGGGAGAATCCTGGAGCTCCAAAGCCTGCAGCCTGTTGGTATGGGCCCAGTGAGCCTTGCTGCCCTGCGAAACCTGAACCTAAAGATGCAGATCCAAGGTTCATACATAGCGGGCGGCGCCGCAGCAGGAGGCACCACAGACTGATAGGCTATAGCAGATATTTCTAGGTTCCCAAAGGATCTGGCAGCAATGCGAATTGACGCACAGCAGCTTCTGGCACGAACACCTTCACCCCGCCAACAACACCAGTGGTGATGCAGAGCAAGATGGCAGGCACTGAATCTGTGGGATTCCTTGAAAGGTCCATGCAAGGCGCTCGTATGAAGTTGCACGGGGTCCCATCAGTCAGAGTTGCCGGTGTGTTGATGCTGCCATTCAACCCGCAAGCCTTTGGAATCATCATGGCAATGGCCCCCGCTGGACCATTCGTCTTGAAGTGTTCCCGAACCTCATGAAGCAGAGGCATGGTGCCGTCAGCTCCAACATCTAGAATGGGCAACGGGCATGATTGCAAGTTCGTCATAGCAATGCAATCTGCACTCTTTCCAGTGATGAAAGATAATCTCGCGGGAAGGACAGAATAATAGTACCTTGAGCCAAAATTAGGGTTTAGGGTTTAGGGTTTAGGGTTTAGGGTTTGTAGCGTTACACATATTTCCAATTCGGGTTCCTGAAGGCCAGCCCAAGGTCAAGGATTCCTTCCTATGAACCTCAACACCATGGAATCCCGACAGCTTCCCCCCCCCGCCGCAAGAAGCGCGAATACCGCCACTGAAACCCTGGAGCAGCCACCCCCCCCACCCCACTTGTGCCTCGGGAGCTTTCAGGAGTCCTTCGGCCGTATGGCACATGTTCCGGGCTGCTTGGGGTTTTCAGTATAGAATTAGGGCTGAGGGTTTTGGGTTTCGGGTTTTCGTCCCTCCTGCACAGCTGGGGCGAATCCACATGATATCAGCCCAGCTCCCGAAAGGTAGAGGCAGTATCTTCCTCTGCGTCACGTGTGACGTGCATGCGTTTTGTCTGGCTTCTAGGATGATCACTTCCCCATTTCTTTGGCTGCTGGGGAAAGAGTACCGGCACCGGTGGCCTCTAGGACTCTGTGTACTGCCGCACCCAGTGCATTCTCCACCACATCACCACGCCTCCTCGATGCTGACTTCGCTCCGGTCCCTCGACCCTGAAATCTCTCCTCCTCCTCTTCTTCTTCTTCTTCTTCTTCTTATTCTTCTTCTTCTTCTTCTTCCTCTCTCTCTCTCTCTCTCTCTCCCAGACCTCAACATGTTAAGAACCGTAAACCTGTGAACCCAAGCTGAAACCGAAATCCCTCTGAGCGACTCTACCGGCGGCTGCGAACAGCTCCACACATTGAACCCCGCAACCATTTCCGGAAGCCGGCCTGTCACGTAACGGTCGTGCTTCCAGACCCTTGGCACAGGTGGTGAGATGTGAGAGTGGGACATTGGGGCTCAGGCTTTTGAGGCACTAAGGGTGGGCCTCGCCTATCACCAAATGCATGTCGAAGCATCATGCGTGGGCGCAAGAAATGCAGACGGATAAGTTGATGAGTTGACTTCTCGGCCGAAGCCTTTCGCAAGACATTGTGCTGTGTTCTGCATCTGTTCCGTGCTGTCTTCCAACGGTACGTAGGCCAGGATCACTGAGAACTCCCACAGAAACGCGAGACGCGAAGCATTCCTTCAACCCCTGAACCTGGAGAAACCCCAAAATCACAATCCAGCCCCGCAGCGGGCGAGGCTTGGCGGGTGTATCCATGAGGTCCTGGTGGGGGGCCAAACGTGAATCCTAAAGGTGCATAGCATGACAACGTGACTCCTACAGGTGCATAGCATGGCAGGGTCCCACAAGCCGACATGGAAATCCTATGAAATTCTGTACACACTGAGCCTGGCAACTAAAGCTCAACAAAAACTCACTCGAAGCCCTGAGGCCAAGACGCTGTAAGTCCTCCTGAAAAATCAACAACCTCAAGCCCGGCAACCCCCCATATCCACCTCCCCCCCGCCCTACACCCTAAGCCCTAAGCCCTAAACCTTAAACCCTAAACCCTAAACCCCATCGCCAGCAGCTGAGTCCTTGCCAAGGTGTTTGGTCCCTCGGCCTCTTGAAGCTTTTGGTGGCTCAACTGTGGGCCAGCATTGTACGCTTCAGTTTTAGGGCGTCGCGTATGGCAGATGGAAAGTTGAATTGGGCAACAATACCACTTAAGAATCGTCAAAATCCTTGTGAGAATGAAATCCCCCCCCCGCCCCCCTGCGCCGCCTTTGCTTTCCGCTCGAGAGAGCATGCGGCTGAGGCCATGCAACCTCTTCGGGCAGGGTGCTGACTGGGCTCTGAGGGTGCAACTCGGGGGGCATATCGGGCCTGTAGATGAGGAGGCAAAGGCCTGAGCCCTGCAGGTCGAAAGATTCGGGCTCCCAGTGGGGATCCTAGTAGCTCCTTTCCTTTGAAGCCTTCGATCGCCTCATGCAGGAGTAGGAGAAGGAGAATGAGCAACGATTCGTATCCGGGGCGCGTGATGCTGGGCGACGCCGGCGGCGAGGTCGGATTTCGCAGCCGCGCTGCCTCCAGGATCGGCTTTGGGGCTTAGGGTTTGGTGGCTTCAGAAAGGAGAAGGCTTTTTACCAGGGCTGAACGGGTCCGTTTAAGCTGCATATCGGACAAAAGCCAAGCCGTGCACGATTTTGGTGTTAGACCGATCCACCTGATCTCGAGCTGCCAGGCCTCTGGTGACTTAGTAGGACGGCCGGTTTCACAACAGAACATGCCATGCCGAACACAACCTCTCCCACCTGCGAATCTACGCCTCGAGCCGCTCCAGGCACCCCACAAACAATCATATAGCAGGGGAGGAGGTGTCCCAAGTCCCGAGGCACCACTGCGTGCAGGAGCAGGCTCTGTACGTTGGAGACATATGCTCCCAATGGAAGGATATAGAAGGCCTCCCTCCTAAACCCGAATCTCCGCCTCCCTCTCTCGCTTCCAGACGGCCTGCCCAGGGGGAGATCTCGGTGTCTCTTGGACTCTGAGTGATTTAGTGACAGCCAGCCGTGAACGGGTGGCTTCTGGGTGCTTCTGGACTGGCGTTGACAGCTTGGCTCCCGCAAACAAGGCGGCCCATTCTGCAAGCTTGGGCAGGGGGCTCTCTCAGCACAGCTCATGTTCACGGTGCACATGCAACAACCGCAGTCCTACAGGCACTTATCGGCCTTTGCAGCCCCACGAACCCCCCCAAGCAAGGTCCAGGTGCCCCCTTTCCGCCCTAACGTCAAAAGAGCCCTCAACCCGGGACCGAACACCATCCAACCGAAGCAAATCCCAGGTTTCAGAACAGACTTTGACAGGTCAGTCCAGCCTCCTTGACTCTGCACTCCTGGAGGTCGGGCTGAGGGGATTGTTTCCAACTCTGGGAAACGGAAGGTTTCTGAAGTGCTACAGCTGGCAAGAGTTCACGGTTTCACCGTTTCCCCGCTTCACTGGCGAGCCATTGCTCCGGCACGGTGCCCTTCGGCAGGCGGCTATCGTGAGCGGCCCAATCCCAAAAAGTTGTCGCCAACTTGAATGTCATCACTCATCTTGTGCATGGACAGCACTGGCAAACCAGAAGCATGAGGAACGGTGCAGATGCACCTGTGGTTACGCTTGGGAATCACGGGGTAGATCTTGGTGGCATCTTCAATTGCTCTTTCCATGCTCTTCAAGTAGTAGTCGTCTTCCTGCCGGTGGCACCTTGATTCTCCGGGCGACCGTATCTTCTTCACCTTCGAGTTCCCTTCAACCCACAGCCTGCAGAAACTCCCGAAATTCTGGGGAGAAAAAGCTATATCCGTATATGCTTCTTCTCTGGAATCTCCACCTCATCATCAGACATGCCTTCAGCCAGGCCTAAGCACGTGGCTTTGTTGGGTCCTACGCCCTTTGGCTGGGTTCCCCGAACATCGGGTTCCCAACTTTTGGGCTGCTAAGTCAAGCTGATCCTCCAGAGACCTCATTCCAACCCCGAGCACGAAGTCCGGTTGAGGGTTTAGGGTTTAGGGTTTAGGGTTTCGGGTTTAGGGTTTTGGGTTTAGGGTTTTGGGAGCCCCAAACCCCGGGGTGAGTCGAGGGTGCCCGAATCCCTGCACTCAAAAACCTTGGAGGCTCCCAATGCCCCGAGTCTCCTTCTCTATGAAGCCGGTGGCCGCCCGAAATCGGTTCATGAAGGTGTCCCTGGCCGCAAGGCTCTTGAGTTTCAGGACTTGGGATTCCGCAATTGTTTTTGGGCCCTCTTTTGCAACCCTGTGCAGAAAGGTCCCCCAAGTTCACCGAAACCTTGCAAGTCCCAGCCGGAATCAAAAATCCTGGGTCCCAGACCTTAAGGCTGCTCACGTTCCCACCCAAAAGAAACAGTTGTCTCCCCCTCCCCCCCCTCCCCGCCATCCCCCCCCCCCCCATCCTAAACCCTAAACCCTTTTTTTGCAGCCGGACTGAGGGCGTTGCCGGAAACCCTAAACCCTAAACCCCGAACCCTAACACGCCCTGAAGCCCCTTCCGACGACTTCCTGCCCCAAGAATCCGGGCCTGGCAGCCCCCTCGAAGCGGACTCGCAGGAGCCTTGGGGTGCTACGTCATCTGAGGGCGTGGGGCTTTTAGGCTTTAGGATTTCGGGTCTAGGGCTTAGGTTTAGGGTTTAGGGTTTAGGTTTTAGGGTTTAGGATTTAGGGTTTACGGTTTAGGGTTTAGGATTTCGTGTCTGCGGCTTAGGTTTGGGGCCTAGGGCCCAGAATGTCCGCTTTCCGAATTCACGTCTGTCATGGGTCCTAGATTGATATATGGCAAGGAGACCGGACTCTTTGTGCGACACACCACCCACAAGAATGCTTGCCTTCCGAATTCACGGCTATCGGCTTTCATATGTTCCATGAAACTAGACTGCATGTCGGTCAGCCGCTTTTCTACTTTACATGTACTATTTCCGAATTCACTTCTATCGGCTTTTAATCGGGTGCCAATACAAGTACAGGAGTGCGGAACATTCTGCATCGCAGAAAACTACCCAGAACATGTGCCTTCCGCATTCACGTCTATCGCTTTTAAAAGTAGGTTCCGTTCAAACACAGAGGAGAACTGACTTTTCGCGAAGTGCCACCCCTGCATGTCGGCCAGCCATTTTTGAAACTTAGTACTTTCTAATGCCCGAATTCTCTTCTATCCCCTGCAACTGTGTCAAGCACTACTGGTACTTACCCCACTCCGGACTCCAGGTCAACTACGCGAGGACCGGTGTAGTCAAGCAGATAATCGGCAGCCCGCAGGTGTTAAGGTTCGCTCTCGCAACTCGGACATAACAGGAACTCGCCCCAAAGCCAGACCCTTCGCTTCGGCCTTCGCAGTCTAAACCCTAAACCCCAAGCCCTAAACCCTTCACTATCCTCAATTCAACCGCTGCTGGCCGCCTGTCAAGGACCGCCATGAAGTCCCACTTGCAGACGCACAGGGCCGATCGCACGCGCCCCTCCTGGAGAGTGGGAGATCCAGGGTTTAGGGTTTAGGGTCTAGGGTCTAGGGTTTAGGGTTTAGGGTTTAGGGTTTTAGGGTTTAGGGTTTAGGGTTTAGGGTTTAGGGTTTAGGGTTTAGGGTTTAGGGTTCAGGGCTCAGGGTTCAGGGTTTAGGGTTTAGGGTTTAGGGTTTAGGGTTTGGGGTTTAGGGTTTAGGGTTTAGGGTTTAGGGTTTAGGGTTTAGGGTTTAGGGTTTAGGGCGCTCAGGGGCCTTGTGGGGCTTGCAGGATAGAGCTGAGAGCACGGTACCAAACACGCGAAGGCCAGGAACATCCAGCTGCTTCGACACTCCCACGCAACTTCTGGATTCTGAGCTTGCCTCTGGTATCCATGAGAACTCCTAGCTAACACGCGTGCAAGCTGTCCACCAGGACCTTGTAGCCATTGTAGCCGTTAGCCATAGCCATGCTACTATACCCTAAACCCTAAACACCCCACATGCCCGAAATGCCCCAAAGCCCGGTGTTCTTGCGAGTCGTCACCGTAGTAGTCGGGATCGCCAGGCACAAGCCGCATCGGCTTGGCATAGGCATCAAAAACCTTTGCTGGGTTTCCCCCATTCCCCCCCATTTCAGTGCTAAGGGCTGCTAGCAAGGGGTGCCTTAAAGCAGCCAACTGCCGCAGATGCTCAGAGAATCTCCAAAAGGCATCACTGCCTTTGGTTTATGGTGTGATTTCCCTTCGGGCCCGGCCTGGTGAGCCCACACGTAGGGCAGCTTCTCCTCAAGAGGGACTGGGTTCAAAACCAATCCCAAACCTTAGACCTAAGGGTTCGGAATGGTTCGGAGTTGAAACTTGTTTGGATCCATGAAGTCTGGAAGTCGGGCCCTGAAGTGTTCTCGGGAACGTGGTCCTTCTCATAAAGCTCGAGGTCGACGAAGAGCTGAGAGAAGGTGGACCTCTTGCAGCGTAGCATCGGGTGTGCGCGGTTTTTCCCGGGTTGTCTTTGGAAAGGTCTTGATAGGAACTGCTTGCTCTCCTTGATTGTTGCAGCCCCTCAACCCCGTCGACCCCCAACCACAGCGCACCACCCCGGGCGACCTGGAAAGACCTGATGCGCCCATCGAAGGTCAACCATTGAAAGCAGACCAGCCCTAAACCCTAAACCCTAAACCCCGCATCAGATTCTCAAAAACTCAAACATCGGGCCCCTGGCCGATCGACGCCCAGGTTCGGGGTCAGGTCGATGGCCTTCATCCAGGCATCGATCTTCTCAGAGATCTCCCGGACGTCCTCCAAGTCTCTTGGAGACTCAGACCGCGCGGGCGCTGGGCTGAAGCTTCGAATGCAACTTCGTCGTGTGCAAGGTTTTTGGGTTTGCCTTGGTGCGAACTTAGGGACTTAGGCTATGGTAGGATCTGTCCAAAGTTAACTGAGGGAGCTGTAGGTGGGTGGCAAACCATGCTCGATGTGACGGCAAGATAACCCCAATTCTGGCAAAAGCAGAAGCGTTTCTGGCGACGTGAGACCTGTACCCCTCTAGACCCGAGCCCCCGAAAACCCTGTTTCATCCAAAACACGCATCCCGAAACCCTCAACGCACCCCCATAAGCCCCCCCTTCGTCCCCACAAACCCTCCACCAACCCTCACATACGCCCCATAAGTCCCCCAAAAGTCCCCCTTCACCTCGTGGCCCTCTTGCAAGCAGAGTCGCCTCGTAGTTGAAAATCCAGCCCTGCCTGTTCACCTCTTTTCTCACGCGACGCGCGCAGGGAGGGTTCCGGGAGGTGTCACTTTAAGGGACTCCGGGGAAAACGGGCATTGTGAACTTGCCAAGCTCAAAGCGGGGTCCGGAGGGAACTTCGGGTTTATAGGGTTTTTTGGGTTACAACGAGGGCTCAGGACCCCGGAGGCTTGCTTTTTGGATATCACTTCGCCAGGTTGCAGATCTGATGCTTGGAGCTGACTTGAAAGGGCAATGGCTTAGAATGTTCGATTAGCCCTTCATAGGTTGAGGCAAGTCGCCACAAAGATGCTCCTTAGCACCAGTGCGTGCGACTTGCTTTCTCTCGCTTTGTGCAGCAGGGGCCGATCGGGAAGCAGCGCAGCCGGGGAATGGGTGCGCAGGCTTGGAGGCCTCACCCTAAACCGCGATTGAACCAAGGAGCTGCGGTGTCACCTCTGCAAGATACCTTAGCACCGGCAAAGGGGGCCCCGCTTCAAAGAGGATTGATTCGCCCTAGACCCTGCAAGGCGGGCCCAAGGTCCATCCGGCCGCCGAGCGCTAAGCAATCACATTTTGACATCTTCAACCCATGCAGTAAACCCTACTTCCCGCTGCGGCCCGGTCACATGTTCAGGCGCTCGCCGCGCCTGTAGGCGGGAGATGCGTGGGTTCTTAGACAAGGTGTCTGGAGCCCAAGACTACAGGTCTCCCTCACTGCAGAGTTACGTCGGTTGCAGCCAACAAGGCCCCTGATCTCTCTGTGCCGCGCTTGGCGTCTGCGTCTGGCACATCGGAGTTGTGCAGAGATACTCCCTAAGAAGGACCGAGACCACCCAAACCTAGATGCACCTAAGAACATATATTTCTATACACACATATGTATATATACATATTCTATTTGCATAACTAGACAAATAAGTGTATATATATATATGTATATATGTATATATGTACATATACATGTATCATTCTATGTGTGTGAGCATAAACAATACCCCCCTCCCCCTGCTGCCTGCGCTCCTCGCGCTCGGCCTTCCGAGACCGGGGCTCGACGGGATGCATGACCTGCGGGCCAAGGCTTGGTTCTTTTAGGGTTTAGGGTTTAGGGTTTAGGGTTTAGGGTTTAGGGTTTAGGGTTTTTTTCCCACCCGTTTCGCAAGGGTTTAGGGTTTAGGGTTTAGGGTTTAGGGTTTAGGGTTTAGGGTTTAGGGTTTAGGGTTTAGGGTTTAGGGTTTAGGGTTTAGGGTTTAGGGTGTCGGGTTTAGTCGCTACGTCCCTTTTCGAATCCTTTGTTTCAGGGTGCCGTACTCTGCATTTACATGTACATAGACATATGTATGCACATCAAGATACAGGACCCGAAAGGGGCCCTAATTCAGAGAACGACCCTTGTAGGTCCTCGTGATTGCGATATGCACGGCGCTTACTTAAGGATTGCGAGTTCAGCGTGCCTCTTACCCTGCTTGCACGGCCCGCGGCTCTTATCAGCGAGAAGGCTGCTTTGCAGCGCACGTCAGGGGCCTACTCCCGCCGCTTTGCCCGTAATCCGACAGCCTCGCCTCGGGGGGCACCCCCGGTGGGAGGAAGGGACAGGTGCGCAGAGCTCGGTCCTCGGGACTTTGGCTTCATTTGAGCTCCCTTCAGCACTGACAAAGTGATTCCGCAGCTTCGAAGGTTTGGTTGGAAGCTTTGGCTTGTATTGGCCACACCCGAACGGCTGTGCCTTCACGGGGTTGCACGTGGTCTTGATCAACGCTGCAGAGCCGCTTTCTCCTGGCTCTGACGGTCGGGGAACTTGTGCATGATCAAGTCGTGCTGCCTCGCCCTTCCGATGGCAAGGAGTCACTTCGTAATGACTTCGTCCGAATATGCTGAGGTGTGCAGCTTTGAGGGGTCTCAGACGTCCTTTAAATACCAGACGAGTGCAGAGACATGTCTGGCCTGACGTCCGACATGCGATACCGCTCGTCTGAAGCCAGGCTCCTGGGATCGTCTGAGAGGCCCTCGAAGTCCTAAGGGCCCCGAAACGACCCCCTTTGAGCCCTGAAGTACCCATGAGGGTTGAAGTTTTCAGCGTTTTTCGCTTTTGTAAGCCCCTCGTCCCCCTCTGAGTACCAAAATGCAGCGATTCAGAAGACACCACGTGTACCTGAAGCAGGGAGCCGTAAGGGAAGCCCAACCAAGCCTCGTCAGTCGTGTTGCATCATACCTGCTCGCCCCCACTTCGGAGAGCTGAAACGCGAGCACCCCCCGCAGCTCCCCTCTTTTGACCACTTGCGACAAAGGAGCCGGTAGAGTGTTGTTTTTGCATCCTTTTGCCTGGGCGGACTGCCAATGCTCTTCATGCGACATTAACCTGTTTCAGGGCAAACGTTCGAAACACCATGCACTAGCAACACGGCACGACCGCCGTACCCCTAAACCCTAAACCATCAACCCTAAACCCTAAAGCCTAAACCCTAAACCCTAAACCCTAAACCCTAAACCCTAAACCCTAAACCCTAAACCCTAAACCCTAAACCCTAAACCCTAACCCTAAACCCTAAACCCGAAGGAAGGGTTTAGGGAGATCTGGGCAGCCTGCTCCCCTGTTGCCCAAGACCTGTTACTCTGCTGACTAGAAACAGCTGCCGGTCCCTCTCGATCATGGCGCTCGCTTTGCCTCAGACCAGTTTAGGGTTTAGGGGTTTAGGGTTTAGGGTTTAGGTTTTAGGGTTTAGGGTTTAGGGTTTCTGCAAGCACTCTCTGCAGCTCAGGCGTTTAGGGTTAAGGGTTTAGGGTAAAACCTCAGAACCCTAAAGACCCACACCCGAGTTGAGAATCTCGCAACCTGATGCCTTGTGGTTCAAAGATGGGGCAAGCACACCTTTTTTGACCCCGCGAGCTCTGCCGGGTTTCACAGCTGTCCAAGCAGCCCTCATGAGCACTCGCGCAAATGCCAAGATCGCTTGCCCCTGAATCCTAAACCCTTTTCCACGCGGGCCTTGATGAATCCTAAACCCTAAGACCCTGAACCCTTTCTTACACATTAACCTTGAAAAGCTCATACTCAGTTTTGAATATGGCCAGTACCAACCCTCATGCCTCATTCGGTATATGTTCAGTTTGGGCACCAACTCTGTCGTGCAATTCGGTGACAGGCCCTTCGTTTTGGACATTTTGGACAGAAAGAGCCTGAGGATGAGGTAACAGAGAAGCCGGCAGGAAGGATCTGTAAAGCAAATTGCTTCCCAATGTCGTTGGGGCCAATCGGCCGGTGGGCATGTTTCCTTTCGCTGGACAAGTTGCTTGATTGGTGAACTCGAAACCCTGAACCCAAAACCGAGCACTGCCTGCCTGGGACGAAAACCATGGCCATTCGAGAGCGGGCAACGCTAAACCCTATAAACCCTGAACCCTAAACTGTAACTATAGACCCAGAACCGCATAAGCCCTATAAACTCCAAACAAAAAAAGGCCGCCAAGGGCCCTAAGACCAGGGGGGAGGGGGCCCTGAAGAAGCGCCCGCGAAGCCGATGCTGCGGAGCTTCGGTATGCCACGGCCGAGAGGGAGAAGATGTGCCTTTGGACTGGGGTACGATAATCCCGATTAAGGACTGCTTGTATACGGGTGAACATCCCAAGCTTCGGGTGTATAGGGCTTAGGGCTTTGCAGCGGGGTGGTTGGCTATAAGGGCTCCATGCCCCACAGGCAGCAACTCCAAACAAACCCGAAATGTGCGAATACAACATGAAGCCTGCAACAAGACCAAGTCCTAAACGCTCTCAGCCTGAGGGTTCAGGATTTAGTGTTTAGGGTTAAGGGTTTAGGTTTAGGGCCCTAAAGCACAAGCGTCTCGGCCCTGAAGCCCGAAAGCGAGCACCAACCCGACAACAAAATAGCCAACAAGCAGGTGCAAGCAGTGTACAGCAGCAGGGCTGCCCACCGACTGAGAAATCGAAGTCCCCCTTGCGGGAACCCCTGTACCAGGGACTTGCAACACAATCTACACGCCCGAGCACATCATGGTCTGAGACTAGAAATGATCGTAAGGGCCAGAGTGTGTATTCCTTTGTCTTTTTTATCTATTCATTTCAGCCAGTGCCAGAAGCAAAGTGGCTCACAGAGGAGCGCCCGGGAGCTGCTTTGCCCTTGAAAACCTTCGTGCAATAACAACCCCCCCCCCCCCCGCCCTTTCCGCGCCCCTTCCCCCACCCCTCCCCCCTTTAGAGTGCACTGTAGGGGTGTTTAGGGCTTAGGGTTTAAGTTTAAGGTTTAGGGTTTAGGGTTTAGGGCTTAGGGTTTAGGGTTTAAGGTTTAGGGCCTCAAAACCTTCCTGCGCCCGGGCGGCTGCTCGGGCGGGGAGACGCCGGACGCTCGGGAGCCGAAGACCTTGGAAACCTCCGGATGCCTTGTTGGGCCACTCACCCCCACCAGGATTCCCGTAGCTAGGGGCGCATGGGGTCACTCCGAATTTAGCAACGAAAGAAAAGAACAGTATACTCATCTAGTGCAATATAGTAGTATAGTAGTTTACTGATTCCGTGATATAATACGATAACAATCTATTCATACCGATCGTGTCACATTTACCAGAATACCAGCGCGCTCTCGAATCAGGCTGCGCAATGGCGACAGGACTCTCCTACCGGACCAAAATGCAGCAGGCAATGTGGTCCTCACTTGGCCCCCGGAGCCTTCGGGGGGTAGAGTTTAAGGGGTGGCTCTGAGGGTGACGAGGCTGTGAAGGCTCTGCTATAAGGTGTTGGGATGCTTTGGGGGCATTGTCTCGGAATACCACCCCCTTAGAAGCCCTTGACCTACTCAAGAGCAGCCGCCTTCGTGCAGCCACGGACATGGAGAGGTTGCAGAACCGGGGCTGCCCGAACTCGTCGAAGTAGTCCCTGACTGCGCCGCAGTCGGGCAAGGCTCCAGATGTCTGAATCATGGAGGAGAGAATGATTCTTCGGTCACTCTGGCAGCCTTCTACCCTCAACCTTGAAGCCCAAAACCTCAGACGCAAGGACTTGACGTCCTCAACGCGTTAAGGGTATGAGGGCATCGGCCCTCAAGGTGCGAGAGCCCTGGGCATGCTCCCTGGCACACGTAGCGCGTGAGCCCGGCCTGAGGCCGAACTCTTCGAAGCACTCTGCCTACGTGGCGCTCGCGAGAGGGGAGTTGGGGAGGGTTGCTGTTCAGAGGGGGATTGGGGATTGGGGAGAAGGTGTTGCGGGGTTCAGGCGGAGGGGTTTTCAAGGATGCTGCAGAGAACTGCATTCGATGGTGGCGGATCCCTGTCCGCAAGCCCTGGCAGCCTAACGCCCTTCCCCCAAAACACACACACACACACACACACACACACACACACACTTTCGTCTAGTGCACTTGAGCACCCAAGATATGGAACACCAACACAGGAAACAAACCTCCCCAGAAAGCGCAGCGCCCACCACACACCCCAGGTCCCCGGCCACGCCCCGCTTCGTCAGGTCAGCGACGACTAAGCCACCCCTCGGAGCCGGGCTTGGGGCGGTCGAGCCCTGTTGCTTTGGGAGGCATGGGGGGTTTGGGGTTTTAAGCTCTCTTTTTGTTTAGGGTTTGGTGTTTGATTCGGGTTTAGTGCTTAGGGTTTTAGGGTTTTAGGGTTTTAGGGCTTTAGGGTTTTAGGGCTTTAGGGCTTTAGGGCTTTAGGGCTTTAGGGTTTTAGGGTTTTAGGGTTTTAGGGTTTTAGGGTTTTAGGGTTTTAGGGTTTTAGGGTTTTAGGGTTTTAGGTTGCCTGGCTGACCGTGTCGTATTGCCAGATGTCCCACACGGAGGCCATGCAAAGAACAAAGAACCATACAAAAAAGCGAACCCTAAACCCTAAACCCCAAACCCTAAACCCCAAACCCTAAACCCCAAACCCTAAACCCTAAACCCTGAGTTTATTGACTTTGAGAGTCCGAGGCGAGCAGTAGACGCGAGCCGGCTCTGGTGGAGTTCTTTCCTTGAAACCCTATCTATGGGACGGAGACAGAGGTCAAGCATGAACCAGTTTCGGGCTCAGGGGCTCAAGATGGTTCAAGAGTTTCGGGCTCTCTGTAGGGACGTTGGGTTGCAGGTTTTGAGCTTTCGGAGGCTGCGCCTCGGCGTTGGCAGAGACGAACCCTAAAACCCTAAAACCTTAAAACCCTAAAAACCCTAAAACCCTAAAACCCTAAAACCCTAAAACCTTAAAACCCTAAAACCTTAAAACCCTAAAACCCTTTTTCGCAAGGGACACGGCTGCTGCCCTTTCTACCCTAAAACCCCTAAACCCTTTTTACACCCAGGCCTCTGAACCCCAAAACCCTTAAACCCTTAAACCCTAAAACCCTAAACCCTAAACCCTAAACCCTAAAACCCTAAACCCTAAACCCGCTCTGCGCCATACGAGTCGACGGCGGCCGAGGCACCGAAGGTTCTGCGCTCGCCCGGCTTGAACCAGGGGGTGCTGTGCCAGCGCTCCCTGATCACACACAAGGAGCCCCCAAGAAGGGGTTTAGGGTTTTGGGGTTTTAGGGTTTAGGGTTTTTAGGGTTTTACGGTTTTAGGGTTTTAGGGTTTTAGGGTTTTAGGGTTTTGGCCCATCACATTTCGACCATGGCAGGTTAAGCGCTCAAGTGGATGCAGACATCTGGGGGCCAAGCAATGTGAGAGTGTGGGAGAGCGTGCTCGGGAGCTTTCACTGATTTCTCCGAGTGCTTTTCTCCATGTGGCTGCAGCAGCGGCACAGGGATTTAGGCAGATTTCGGGGCTTGGCTTCAAGGCATAGTCCAGGCATGTAGTTTCAGACTCTTGAAGGGACGTGCTCTTTGTGGAGCTGACGAAGTTCTAGCTTGTCGTTTGGGGGGCCACTGTGCCGGTGCTTCACTTTCGGGGACGGGTCGCATCCTCCTCCTCGTCCATGCTATCGTTGGGCGCATAGCCTGCACGGAGGGACGGGTAAGAGCGCACCTATGAGATATGCAGCATTTGAAGCACTCGTATGTCGCACCCCTCCCGAAGACCCCGGTCCAAAGCACCCTTTCAAAGTTTTCGCCCTCCCAGCTTCCTGAACCATCAACAAGCCCATCAACCCCCAGTCCACCCTCTGTGGTACTCTCTGCCCTGATCCCAGAACTCCAGGCCCCGCAACGGGCACGCGGGCACCCTTTTGCATCCAGGCTCCGAAAAAACAATGCCGGGTATCCCTGAAACGCGGGCACCCTACACAGGAAATCCCTTAGCCCGAATGAGCAGCCGAAGGGCTCCGTGACAGGAAGCGGGAAGGCCCATCGCTGGGGAGAGGGCGATTGCACCTGCCGCAGTGTTCGCGCGCGTCCGGGCGTATCCCAGTGCTGAGGAATTTGGGATCCTTCGTTCGTTGCTACCAGGAACTACACGTCTTGTTTTGTTGAGGAGGGCCTGCATTCACGAACCCAGAAACCGAAGCAGAGCCGACAGACTCTGAAGGGTATGTGCAGGAAGCATTCTTACACACCATCAGCCGGCACCGCAACCCTCTCGCAACAGGCTTCAGGCTCCATTTTGCAACCCCTTTTTGCCCGAAAACCCCCTCAAAGCCACCAACCAACCTCGAATTGAAGCCATGAGCACCAACCTCTCCAACCACCTCAACACCACAAATAACACCGCAAAACTGTCCACAAGACAACTAAAATCGATCCTTCTGGCTTCTGGTCTGGCACTTGTGGTTGGTTTGTGGCCCGCATCTTTAAGTGGACCCGTCAGACATATAGGCCGATAATCTACTACCCCCCTAAACCCTAAACCCGAAGCCCGAAACCCTAAACCCTAAACCCAGATGTACCGGCCCCTGAAATCCCAAAGTTTCAGGTGCCAAGCGGCAGCGAGCCGAGAGGGTCCGCAAGGTCCAAGAAGGCGCTCTTGTCCTGGGCACATGGGGGGTTTACGAAATGAGGGGGTACCTTGTTGGGATTTAGGGTTTAGGGTTTAGGGTTTAGGGTTTAGGGTTTAGGGTTTAGGGTTTAGGCTCCTTATTGTAAGGGGATCCTACTATTTTGGGGGTCTATATTAGAATCCCCCATGTTCGGAAACCCCCACATGCAGGTCAAGGCAATGAAGCTTCAGCAGTTCGAGGTTCTTGCTTGGGTTTTTTGGGCGTCCTCACACCGCGCTGCTGGGCTCTATGAGGAATTGACGAGAGTTTCAAGGCTTAAGGGCTTCAGTGTTCAAGGCCTGGGCTTGGGTTGCATCTGGACCGCGGAAGCATGCCACAAACCCCGACATGCGGGTGCTAAAGCCTAGACCCGAAACCCTAAACCCTAAACCCTAACCCCCTACACCCTAAACCCTAAACCCTAAACCCAACAATGCGATGAAAGCCTTGGGCTTCGAAGACAACAAGGTCGCGGTGCCTGGGCGCTAAAAGTTTGGCTCGGGCCGGTCTTCGGCCCAAGCGAGGTGGCCATGGCGCAATTCTACCTGCGGATCTGGGATATTCCGTTGAGGGGTTTAGGAGGTTAGGAGTTTAGGAGCTTAGGAGTTGAGGAGTTGAGGAGTTTAGGAGCTTAGGAGTTTAGGAGTTTAGGAGTATGGGAGTTTAGGAGTTTGGGGTTCTACCTTTGGGCGTTGATCTGTGGGTTGACCATTCTTCTGGTGTTGGGATCGTTTCGGGCTTAGAGAGAGCCGAGGGTGGCTTAAGGGCATCTGGGTGAGAGGTCCTACGGCACCTACTGCGTCCCGACTTTGCAGGACATCCTGACATTCCACGGCGATTGACGGCCAGGAATTGAACACACATCCCAAAAGAGTTTTCCAAGAGTGTGCAGCTTACGCACGACACCTGAAGCTTGGAGATTTATCACGAGGCTTGACCGAGAAGTTCAGCACATCCCAGCAACTCGGGGTAATGTAGGGGCACACGTGAGTACAGTTGTCCGTGGCACCACGAGTTCTGGGATCTCATACTGTGGGTTTGGGAACCGTACCCTTAGTGGAAGCTGGTCAAAGTCAGGGAACTCTAGCCTCAAACGCGATACAATCCCCCAGCTACTCCCCTACCCGAAAGCAGAAATTACCGTAAAACCCCAAACAACAAAAAAGGGAAGGACGGAAAAGCCCCAATTTTCACACTCCGCGGAAATCCCGCTGGTGCTGGCACATCGCTGCGCCCGCGCTGTCCAGCCAGGCCTCTCTGCTGAAATGAGGATGTGGGGCTTATAGGGCCCTCCAAGAGGAACGCCCCCCCAAAAAAAACAACAATAATAATAATAATACTGATAGTAATCATAAAATAATAATCATAATCATAATGGAAATTTTATTATTATTGTGACTATGGCTGTCAGCAGCCGAACCTTGGCCAGCCAAAAACCTTAACTGTGTAGGGTTTGAGGGCCGTCCAGGTCGAACCTGCGAGAAAGCAGCAGCTTCGGCCGAAAGAAGCATACATAAGCTACTGTAGTCATTAGAGTCATTGGCATGTTGACGAGTCGACGGAAGCAGGCCATCCCCCGATTCCCCCAATCCCCCCCCCAACCTCTCGTGTGCGCTCGCATTGTGCGGAGGCGGCAAATGGCAAGGCTCTGGTGCCACCCGCGCATAAGGAGACCCCGCTACCTGAGGCAGGTAACAGGCCCAGGCCATGCACATAACACAACCTTTCAAAGCGTATTGCTGTTTGCGGCTCAGGACGCATGGTCGGGTAACTACCTGTGACCGCAATTGCCTACCCGTTTTACGGGTCATGCCTACTAATTATGGGGTAATTACTACTAAACTGTAGGTAATTGAGGTTGCAGGTATGGCCTATCTACTATTTGCTTAAGATCTCCCATAACAAACAAAAAACAATCCCTATCTTGCCCTTATAAGGAATTTGCTTGTTTTTTGGGGGGAGGGGTTTTTAAGCAAATCATAATTATGGAGGGCTCCGGCCCCCTCCGCTGCACTTCCTTTGTCCCTCCAGGCTGCCGGTGGGGCGAGCCGCTGGCAGCTGCAGAAGGCGAGGGCTCGGAGGGGGCGTCCCGCACGCGCTTGAGCGCCTGGAGGACAGGGTTCAGGGTTCAGGGTTCAGGGTTTAGGGTTTAGGGTTTAGGGTTTAGGGTTTTGGGGTTTTTCGGTTTAGGGTTTGGGGTTTAGGGTTTCAGTTTGCATTTACAAAAGAACACAACGGGACTGAGGGCTCAATTTTCTGCATATTAAGCCTGCCGGACATTGCACGTAGCATGGCGCCGCCAGCCCCTAAGTCCCAAACCTTACCTCTGCCTAATCAACCCTAAACCCTAAATAGGCCCCAAACCCTAAACAACCCCAAAATACCCCGAGGTAAACCCTAAAGCCTCAAAAAAAACCCAAATGAACCCCAAAAAATGCCCCAAAGTAAACCCTAAACACCCCCCCAAAATAAACAATCAACAAACCCCAAAGAATAAACCCCCCAAAGTAAGCCCTAAACCCCCAAAGCAACCCGGTGCCCGGGCGCTGCAGGATGGAAGGAGCCGCTCCGAAGGTCGAAGCCCGAGAGAGGCTGCAGCTGCGTGCTCTTGGAGACCTGGGACCCTTTAGGGTTTAGGGAGTATAGGGTTTAGGGTTGAGGGTTTAGGGTTTAGGGTTTAGGGTTTAGGGTTTAGGGTTTAGGGTTTAGGGTTTAGGGTTTAGGGTTTAGGGGTGTTTTGGGTTGCTCTTGGAGACCTGGGGACCCCCCCCCCCCCAGATTTCGGGGGTTTTTGGGGTTTACTCGGCGCTTGTCTCTGAGGGCTTTAGGGCTTAGGGTTGGTTTAGGGTTTAGGGTTTAGGGTTTAGGGTTTAGGGTTTAGGGTTTAGGGAGTATAGGGTATAGGGTTTAGGGTTTAAGGTTTAGGGTTTAAGGGTTTAGGGTTTAGGGGTGTTTTGGCACCCGCATGGCTGGACGAACCACTCAGAAGACTTCGGGGCCTTCTGCGGCACCATCTCCGAAGAGCGTAATATCGGGCGCCAGAGTGCAGGGGTTTTTAGGGTTTAGGGTTGTAAGCTCAACAGGGCCACTGCCGAGGGAATGCTTTGGATTAGGGTTTCGGGTTTAGGGTTTCGACTCACTCGCACACAAGCAGGCAAGGATTCCGTCATCTGGGTTCGTGTCAACTCGCTCGTCCACTGTGTTTAGGGTTTAGGGTTTAGAGTTTCGGGTTTATAGGTCTAATGTTTCGGGTCTTTTGCCACCTGCCTGGCAGCAGGGACGCAAAAACGTCCATCGAACCCTAAACCCTAAACCCTAAAAAAAGTGGAAATGAGAACGGGAGGCATGACTCGCTCTGCTCACATGAGGTCACCGTGCAGCTCACCAAGCTGTTTTCGGTTATGGAAGGCAAGGCACGCCTAGCCCAAGTAAAATCTTCAGGGTCTTGGAACTTCAGGTTTTGGGATTTTGGGTTTAGGGGTTTCGAGGTTTAGGGGTTTGGGGTTGAGGTTTGAGGGCTAACCTTGCGGAACGAAGGGAAGGGACAAGGAGAAGATTCTACGGGAGTGAGCTCGTAGACTGCAGAGTGGGTGCTTACACGGAGGGAGCCCCTCATTCCCAATACAAGGTGCGCGGAAAGCAGCCGGATCTCGAAACATAGCCGCCACGCTCCTCTGAAGAATTTTGGGGTTTTGGGGCGGCGGCGGGGGGGGGGGGGCTGAAGGTCCGGTCATCAAACTTTTTGGGGACTCATCCTGGGAGGGCGGGGTGGGGGATAACATCCCTGTCAAGATGCCCCGATCGCCTGCAGCCAAGATGCATCAGTGCCTGTCGCCGCTCCGCATCTGCTTCTGCCATGGGCGGAAGAAAGACAGCGTTCGCTGGGAGTGCCCGTGGGCTACGCTGAGGTGAGAGGGCTTGCTTCTGCAAAAGGTCACTCGAAGCAAAAGATGTCATGAAGATCTCAGGGCGGCGCATGCTCTTAGGGTACATGGTGCAAACCCGAGGCCCTGGAAGACTCCTCCCCACACAAACCTCCGACTCTACGCACTCCTTGGCGCAAAGTTGCTGCTCGCCCCAAGCCCTAACATCTACGTGCACTCGAGCCGGAAAGCACGCGCGTCCGAACGCAGAGCCGCTCCGAGGAGCAAGAAAGCCGAAAGCAACAGCCCCAGCTCTCAAAAGGAACAGCCCCAGCTCTCAACGGAACCTGAACCCTAAACCGCTGCAGTTGAATAAAGGTTGAGCGGAGGCGGCCCAGGGTATGCCACGCCAAGGAAAGGCTTGCAAGATGGGGGAATGGGCTCTACAGGTTGCAGGTGGTCTCACGTAGGAGCGGTAGCCTTCTCACAAGTCTCACCTCAGCCACTACCGCCCGTGAGATTCTCCGACATGGAGGCCCCAGGTTGCGTTTCCGGGCCAGAGGTGTCAGCGGCTCGCGTCGCGTCACGTATGTACAGGTGGCAAGGAGAGGTGTGTCCGGCACAACATCTCACCTTGTGGAAGTGAAACATCCAATGCCCGCATGCCGGGATCCGATAACCTCCGAGCTGTAAGCTGACCATCCGTAGCTGTCATGCATCCCAAAAAACCGCAAAGGCTAAGCTACGACCCCTTCTCGCCACAAAGAAGTCCCAGTGAGCCCCTACACCCTAAACCCTAAACGCTAAACCCTAAACCCTAAAAGGAAGAGCAGCAGGCCGCTTCCACACAGGCAGCCCTCATCAGGTACTCGTTCCGGGCTCGTGCCGGAGCCCCGTCCCGGAAGGCCGTGAGGTAGGTGATGACCCGGCCTCCAGCTTCCCGGTTCCGGGGTTTAGGGCTTAGGGTTTCGGGTTTAGGGTTTAGGGTTTAGGGTTTTTTCCCACCCGTTTCGCAAGCGTTTACGGGTTTAGGGTTTAGAGTTTAGGGTGTAGGGTTGAGGTTTAGGTAGGGCGACAGCTTGGTGAGGGTTTGGGCAGCATCAGGGCTTCAAAGGCTTCGCGCCGAAGGTCTTGGGAAGGTCTCTTGAACATGCCTTGCACTTCCCCACCTCATGCCGGGACGGCCCTTGGGCGTCAGAGCTCACATGCCAACCCCCCCCTCCGCGCCAACCCACCCTCAGCAACAAGGCCCCGCGGAGGGCTCAGGGGGGCCAAAGGACCTTGCAGTCCCAAAACCCTAAACCCTAAGCCCTAAACCCTACACCTCTCTACCATATAACCCTAAATGTTAAACACCAACTAGGGAATGGAATTTGATCAATTGTTTTTTCACGTTTTTTTCCCCCCCCCCCATTGTTCAGCACGGATTAGGGAATTTGATCCATTTTGGCCTGTCCGACCCCTCTGGCCCCCCATTGTTCAGCACGAATTTGGGAATTTGGCCCGTCTGACGCTTTTGACCCCCCATTGTTCAGCACGAATTAGGGAATTTGATCCATTTTGGCCCCTGTGACCCCTCTGACCCCCCCATTGTTCAGCACGAATTAGGGAGTTTGATCCATTTTGGCCCCTCTGAGGAATTTGATCCATTTTGGCCCCCCTGACCCCTCTGACCCCCCATTGTTCAGCACGAATTAGGAATTTGATCCATTTTGGCCCCTCTGACCCCTTTGACCCCCCCATTCATTGTTCAGCACGATTAGGGAATTTGATCCATTTTGGCCCCTCTGACCCCTCTGGCCCCCCATTGTTCAGCACGAATTAGGGAATTTGATCAAAAAACACACTTTCTATTGTCGTAATGTTATGGGATTCTTTGGGCGGGTGGGTTTTTTCTGTTGCCTCCACACACTGCTGGCCTAGTAAATGCTCGAACTTGAGATGCTGAACCCTAAACCCTAAACACTAAACCAACCCCTAACCCCTCGAAACCCCTAAACCCAAGCCCCCGAAGTCCGCAGCTGGGACCATGGCCACGGTTCTTGGCGATGGTGTTCTCACAGGCCAGGATCAGCGAGTCGGCGCCCGGGTCGTAGTTCTCCGCGAGGTGCGGGTGCTCCTCAGCCGACCCCCCCCCCAAGGGTGATGTTGATTAACCCCCTGGTTCTTCTTCGTAGGGAATGAGGGAATGAGGGCCCTATATCATCCCTTAAAGAGTAGATATAGGGCCCTCATTCCCTCATTCCCTACTAAGAACCAGCCAGTTCAAGTCCCATTCAGCCTTCTTCTCTGCACCCTGCAGCCTCTTGAGCCCTAAAGCCCTTGTTGAAGTTCAGGAGCTTTTTTAAGCTTCGCCTCGCCACATGAAGATGTCCTCTTTTGCAGCGTCAGACAGGCCCCCCATGCCAGCCCTGAACCCCAGAAAGTTGCTGAGCAACTCCGGTCGAGGGGTCAGCTACGAAGCCAGGGCCTCTAAGACCTGAAAGCCTTTAAAAGCCTGGCGCCCTCATCAACATGCGGCAAGCCTGCGAAAGCCAGGACGGTTTTGGTGAAATGGTCCCTGGCTTTGACAAATAGAACGCCCAGCTCATCCGGATCACACTCGGAAGATCCAGAAGCTTAAAACTACGATGCCCAACAGTTTTGCCGCCAGCCGAGCTCTGCAGGGACCAGTCGAGGCACGTAAGACCACCAACCCGCCAGACGCCCCCAAAAAGACTCCGAAGCCAAACTAGGGAGGGTCTACTGAGGCCGCCAAGGCTCTGCGATCGAAGACAAGGGATCCTGGATCAGGCACCTGAGCCGCACTGGGCTCTCCAGGGCTTCAGGGGTCTTCCTGAGCCCCTGCTGGGGCTCACGGGGGGGGCTCCTGGGGGGGGGGGGGGCCGGGGTCCTGGGGGGTTGTGCTTGCTTTCGGGTCTTTTGGGGGCTTGTGGGGTTTGGCTGTTTGCTTCAGGTTTTGGCATCGGATCTTCGGCTTCGGGTGCAGGGCGGACGGTAAAGAAAGCCGGTGGAGAAGCGAGTGCCAACCAGCTCCCAGGGCACCAGGGTTCGCCGTCCGCCGCCAGGGTTCTAGCTCCGGCGCAGCTGCTCCCGCTGTTGGGCGCCCAGCCCTCCTGCACCACTGCGTGAAAGGATGCCGGCACAAGTGATGAAGAACAGCTGATTTGGGCGAGTCTGGAAAATCAACCCAAGACTAGATGAAAAGGATGATGTACAAATGAGGCGATCTTTGTGGGATGCAGTCAAAGAGTTGCACTCTTCTTGGGATTTTCGAGGTTTGGTATGGGAAGCATGACAGGTGACGGATGGCAGGATAGCATATCCGATGACACACACACACACACCCTAGCAGGTGCGAAAGCTATCAGTTCAAGATGTCAACGAAATGAATGGGAAGATGGACCAAGGGTGCTCTGAGACAATTCAAACTTCAATCTTCGGCTTTGTCTTGAAAGTCAAGGCGCTCAAGACGTTCAAGATGCCAGCAAGTGGTTTTCAAGGGCCACGTAACATGGGAAAAAAAAAACATGGATCCGGGGGGGACGGGGAAGGGGGTACCAAACAAAGGGCATCTACCTGCACACTAACACATACAGACCTTTCTAGCACATTGTGCTGATGCTGCATGGCTGTGTACAGAAATATTCAAAGAGAGGCCCTGAAACCCTATAGGGGTGCATGCGTGGCCGGAGAGGGGCGCGGGCGCATAAACAACTGAAACATAAAATAAAGGACCGACAAAAACATGTCAAAAACGAACACCAGCACCACCGCCGCCGCCGCCACCACCACCACCACCACCACCGCCACCGCCACCGCCAGCACCGCATATACATATACATATACATATACATATACATCTACATCTACATCTACATCTACATATACATATACATATACATATAGACATGGATATGAACACAGATATAGTTAGACTTGGGATTGACTTCGAATAGGTTCAAGTTGCTTTCCATGTGCAGCTGCATACGCATTGAGATCGTTGCTCTGTAAGCTAGAACTTGTAGTGCGTGGGACCTTCCAAAACTTGGTAGCCTCCGATCTCAAGCGGTTTAGCTTGCCATTGGTTTGTGTGAAACTTGGAACGTGGAACTTCCCGTGGGCTGGGCAATATTCGTATCATATTTGTTTGACTCGTCTTGCAGGAGGGCTTGTGTACAACTCTCTTCGTCTTCCTCTTATTCTTCTTCTTCTTCTTCTTCTTCTTCTTCTTCTTCTTCTTCTTCTTCTTCTTCTTCTTCTTCTTCTTCTTCTTCTTCTTCTTCTTCTTCTTCTTCTTCTTCTTCTTCTTCTTCTTCTTCTTCTTCTTCTTCTTCTTCTTCTTCTTCTTCTTCTTCTTCTTCTTCTTCTTCTTCTCTTCTTCTTCTTCTTCTTCTTCTCTCTTCTTCTCTCTTCTTGCTTCTGCTCTCTGCTTCTTCTCTGCTTCTGCTTCTGCTTCTGCTTCTGCTTCTGCTTCTGCTTGCTTGCTGCTTCTGCTTCTGCTTCTGCTTCTGCTTCTGCTTCTGCTTCTGCTTCTGCTTCTGCTTCTGCTTCTGCTTCTGCTTCTGCTTCTGCTTCTGCTTCTGCTTCTGCTTCTGCTTCTGCTTCTGCTTCTGCTTCTGCTTCTGCTGCTGCTGCTGCTTCTGCTTCTGCTTCTGCTTCTGCTTCTGCTTCTGCTTCTGCTTCTGCTTCTGCTTCTGCTTCTGCTTCTGCTTCTGCTTCTGCTTCTGCATCTGCTTCTGCTTCTGCTTCTGCTTCTGCTTCTGCTTCTGCTTCTGCTTCTGCTTCTGCTTCTGCTTCTGCTTCTGCTTCTGCTTCTGCTTCTGCTTCGGCTTCTGCTTCTGCTTCTGCTTCTGCTTCTGCTTCTGCTTCTGCTTCTGCTTCTGCTTCTGCTTCTGCTTCTGCTTCTGCTTCTGCTTCTGCTTCTGCTTCTGCTTCTGCTGCTGCTGCTGCTTCTGCTTCTGCTTCTGCTTCTGCTTCTGCTTCTGCTTCTGCTTCTGCTTCTGCTTCTGCTTCTGCTTCTGCTTCTGCTTCTGCTTCTGCTTCTGCTTCTGCTTCTGCTTCTGCTTCTGCTTCTGCTTCTGCTTCTGCTTCTGCTTCTGCTTCTGCTTATGCTTCTGCTTCTGCTTCTGCTTCTGCTTCTGCTTCTGCTTCTGCTTCTGCTTCTGCTTCTGCTTCTGCTTCTGCTTCTGCTTCTGCTTCTGCTTCTGCTTCTGCTTCTGCTTCTGCTTCTGCTTCCTCTTCTTCTTGTTCTGTGCACTTACAGGCCCCTGCCGACTTCCCTCCTGCGCACGCGACACCCCGCCGCCTCACTTGGCTACTCCACGCCTTCGACCAATAGAGCTACCAACTGCAGTTACTTTCCACATCTCCAAGTCCTCCGAAAGCTGTGACATGCACAGGGTCACATAAGTGGGCGTGATATTTGCGAGGCACCCGGTGGCCTTGAGAAGGTGATCCTTCACCAGGGCCGGGCAGCCTCTGTCCAGGAATTCCCCCATGTTCGTGGCCGAGGGCCGATGAAGCCGGTCCCAGAGCACATTGAGCAGCTGCTGGCACACGTTGCCTGGGCCACGGCGCGTGGCCTAGTTTACGGTTTTGGGGTCTGAGAGGCCTTTTCTGTGCTTCAGGAGCAAGTTGGCACACGAGGGTCACCCAACTACGGACCCCCGTAAAGGCTCTACCAACAAACAGCCCAGAGTCAGCCCAGCCCCCGCGCCAGGGACACGGCCAGGCGCCTCCCTGCAAAGGTTGGAGGCCCGGAGGGCCCCAGACGAGCGAAGCGCTGACGCTCCGGCGCCACGCTCCTCGGCCAAAACGGTGCTGCGCGCTTGGCCCCATAAGCTGAAGACTAAACCCGAAACTCTTTACTTACTCTAGATATTTATTACCACCACTATTATTATGATATTGCGATTATTATTATTGTTCATAGTACTTATTCTTAACCCTAAGCCCGTACCCCAAACCCCTAAACCCTGAGCTCTTCCGTTCCCAGGTGCGTGCGCCACTCAGCGTACGCGGCGGACCGGTCTTCGAAGGAGCTCGGGCCGGGGTCGAGGCCGTTGCCCCAGAGCTCCGGGCCCGTGAGCCTGGGCGTTGAGCTTTTTCAGGGCTTTCGGGCTTCAGGGTTTAGGGTTTAATCACTCACACTCGGACAAGCCAGGCGAGGCACACAGGTTCCACAGTCTCAACATCGGCTCTGCAGCGCATGTGGCCAGGGTTTAGGGTTTAGGGTTTAGGGTTCAGGGTTGTTTACCACCATGGCTTTCTGGAAGGGTGGCAGGCTGGCAGTTCAACACGGCTAACGCGACAAGATGTCTCCAGAGCAAGGGGCCCCGTGGCTGCAAGGGCCTCATCGCTCTCGGTCGAGCGTGGCGGACAGGCAGAAAGCGAAACTTGGGAGCGGTTGGTGTAGTTGAACTCTGCATTCTCGAAGTCGCTGCCATTGGAGTCGTTCCTCGATCTGGGCCAGGGCGGTAAGGCTGGGCATTGGGGGAGCTATGGAGCGAGGGAAAACAAAAAAGGCCGACGACAACAATGCCTAGCTGTCAACATGCCACTTCTTGGCAACCCAAAGACAAGAACAACATGCAGAGAGACCGTTTCTTGAAGCACCCCTCCCAACTCAAGCCCACGGCTCTGTGCACTTGCCAGGGCCAGAAGCGCCAGAGCGCGGGAAAGCAAGCGAGGCGGCATTGGGGGAGACTGGGGGAGGATGGTGTCACGGGAGGCTCATGAACTTTGGGGCTGCCATTTGCTACTCTCGGCCTTGATTTCTGCTGTGTGCAAAGAACATCTTTAGCAGTGAAGGGGTGGCCTTTCGAGGGGCTCAAGGATGCCTGAAGACTTGCCGCTCAGGTTTATGAAGCTGTGGGCCGAACTACGTTAGGTATCGCCCAGTTTTGGGAGGAGGGAGAACGCTTGGCTGCCTGCTTCTAGAAGCGGTTTGAGCTCATGCTGCAAGTTCGGACGCGGTGCCAGAACAGTGCAGAGTTTTGTGACTAAGGATGCCCATTCAGCAGGGAAACAAAGATGCCAGAAGCACACACACCCGGCTCAAAGGCAAGGAAGACGGAAGACTTCTCGAAAAGCACAACGGCAGAAGCAACATTCAAAGAACACAACTGGATCCACAGGGGGCTCGCTTTCTGGCAATTCTGGCGCGCCCTGCTCTCCTCTACCCTATGCATCCCCGAGGGGTTCAACTCAACAGGCCACCCATCGCAAGTCGCTTTTCGGTTCACGAACAGCCCTGGCATGTGACCAGCAGAACAAAGGGGCCTACAAGACAAGTGGTAGCTTAGATCAGCGTTGAGAGCCCAAAAGGGGGTTACCGGACATGAGAACGGCCCAAGCCCGCAGTTAGGAAGCTTTAAAGGGGCCGCGACTTAAACGTCATGCCTTCCTTTGCGTTTGCTTTCTCTCTTACGGCCTTCCACCGCTCGACAGGATGCTCCAACAGAGGTGGCGTGCATGTGCGCCACATGTCTCGTCGGCAGCGTCTGGCACAGAAGCTGGGGGGGTCAGGGGCCGCTCAGCAGCTGAAGCAGCATCTTTGGGATGAAAAAACCGATGGTTTCCTGTTGAGCATACAGGATGCCGCCTGACCCCAGGATCCGCTTCATGCTCTGGGCCCTGAATGTCCGGAGACATTTTTTGACCCCCAAGTCGACCTTTTTGGGGGCTGCGAGCAACAAAGCAAGGCAATGAGCCAATGTTGAGTGCAACTCCTCAGGCTTCTCAGCAAAGCACACGCCATCAAGTGACATCCACCAACAGCGAGGATTTGGGGCGTTTCGGGGCTTTTGCGGTTCAGAGCTCAGGTGTGTGAACCAGGTTCCAGGACCCAGGGCTCGCCCAGCCCGCTAGGTCAAGCGCTCGGGCAGCCGAGTGAAACGCACAGGACATCACGTACCCGCGCGAATTGTCCAGAGGCAGTCTCCGACCTGATTTCGCGCGGAGCAGCGCCTCCCAAGCCAAGGGCTTCGGCCTCCACAAAAAAGTCTTTTCACCTAAACCCTAAACCCCAAACCCGAAACCCTAAACCCTGAACCCTAAACCCTAAACCCTGAAGGTATTTCGAGACAACCTCGTAGTTGGCCTTGGGTGCTTGCCTTTGGCAACCCACCCTGCCGGGAAAGTATCCCATGCATCGGCCCCGCCAATCGACCAGCGAGACTTATGTTAGGGTTTAGGGTTTAGGGGGACTCCTGACATCTGCCGGAGGTAGTGAGATTTGTGTCCATTTACATCACTCATCCATGAAAGCTTAGAAGAAGATGGGCCTCACAATGACACAGAGCTCGAAGTTTCTCACGGTCGTTGCATTGGCGCGAAGGGGGCCGCGTCAAAATCTTCTTAAGCAGGACATGTTGCAGTGATGCGGTTGCCGCATGTATTTCAGAGCGACAGCTCCAAAGCAACGGTCTTTAGAAATATCACAACAGTCAATGCTATTTCATTACACCGCATGTACCCTGTGAAGACACGCCAGGGCTTGCGACTCAGCCCTGGATGTCTACGAAGCCAGCGCAGGCCTGCGTCTTATCGAACTCGCTATGGCCGGCTCTGGACGAGAAAAACCCCCTAACGGCCCCGATGCCACCGGAACCCCTCCAAGGAATTCAAGCTTCCCAAAGGCCAAGAAGCTGCTCATTACTCGACAAGGGAACCTACACCGCCCCAGACTACGACCCGAAACCGAAGAAGCCCGAAAAAGCAGACCCTCCCTGCGCAGCATTCCGTCAGAGCTCAGGTGGGTGAATCTTTAGTGCTGTCGAGTCGCCGTCCGGATCCTGGCAAACAGGCTCGCTTGCGTTCGGATGTGGGTTCCTAAGCCCCTCCTGCACACATTGGTGGCAGAGCCTTTTGGGATTCCAGAGACGCTGATGGCCCGAACTCCAATGGCCTCAGGTCCCGCATCCTGGGCGGAGGCTGCTCCTCGTCCATGTGCGCCTGTTCAGCCTCCGCCCAGAGATGGAACTAGGGTTTAGGGTTTAGGGTTCAGGGTTTAGGGCTTAGGGTTCAGGGTTTAGGGACTTCCTACCTCAGGTTATGGGGATTCAGGTGCCTCAGCGTTGTTGTTTAAGGCCAGGCTTCCCAAGCGAAATAGACGTGAGAACCTTCAATGTGGGAGCTTATGTTATTCAAACATCAGAGGCTTGTTTAATCGCCCACACTCGGACAAGCCGGGGCACAAGGATGTTCAGCGGGGGCCCCGACACCACATGGCCTGCTACTGCTGCAGTCTCTCTAAACTTTAGCATTTGGAAGCCCCAGAAGGATGATAGCCTCTGTTTTCGGAAACCCCAGTTGGCTTGGGCAGGATGAGTCCTGTGTTCCAACCCGAAGCCCAGAAGCATCAAAGCCACCTCAGGCAGATTTCTGTAAACATGCGATTGTTGTCCATTCTTGCTGCGTTCTTCGCTGCTCAATTCCTGAGGTGCCTTGGTAGTTATCGTTGGGTTGTTGCTTTCATGGTTGGGGTCTTCCGAATGACTGATCTGCATGAGGGCCAAGTTGCATAGCACGACGGTGTGCATATGGATAGCTACCAAGGCATCTCTAGCAGAGATCTAAGGGATTTCCTCACATCAGGAGAAAGGCTTCTTCTTGTTCGCCGGTGTGCGCGAAGGGTGCACTTATGCTTCCCTCAATTCCTGCGGCCAACCCAAATTGGCGGGGGGCCAGGTTCCACGTGGCAGCATCCTCGCTTTCAACAGCCCACGAATCAAACAAGTTCATCTTCCATCGTTCCTCGGGCCCTAGGGCATCTTTGAAAGTTGAAAGCATAGAAAGCTCTTCTGCTCCTGCGTTTCGAAGTGTCAAGCACCAGGAAGGCTTCTATCTTCACTTGCCGCCGCCCTCTCTGCGCGGACTTCCTGCGGACGCGACTCTGCGTGCCCCCAGCGCTGCTCCTCCGCATACTGCTGCATGACAAGGCTAAGCCTTACTTCTCGCGCGCGCGCGCGCACACCTGCAAAACCGCTCCGGATTTACAGAAAGAACACGAAAAGCACTTCTCAGGAAAGGGAGAAGGAGCCTGTAGGCGCGAGCAAACTGCCGACAGAGATTCTCGAGGGGCGGTTCCATCCACCAGTTGGGTGCCCTGACGTCGAGGCTCTGCACGAACGGGCTCTCGAGTATTGCCCGTGCCATGGCTTCTCGGCACCAGTCTTGCGGTGAGACGATACACCGACACAGCGACACACATACCCTACTAACTTCCATAACATGTGCTTTGCCAAAAAGGGAGAGATGGCCGGGCATTCTTGCTAGCCCTCCAAGCCAAGAACGCACGACGCCGATAGGTCGACATGTCCTGAACTGACCAAGCGGACCGGCCCCTTCCCAATACGCAGCTTCATGGCCAAAGCATGTCGCCTTTCATACTGCCGCATTGCCGCCAGCGTAAGCGTAAACATCAGTTCGGGCCCCCCCATTAGACAGAGTATCTTAATGCGTACTGCAGGCTAAGTTGTTTTGTGCAGGCAGCGGCCTTCATGAAGTCTGCGAGCGTTGCCGAATGGCTGAGCAATGCCTTCTGCCAGTGCCTGTGGCGCACACTTCGTGCCGCAAGGCCCAAACTAGGAAGGCAATGAACAGCGCCACCTTACGGCAGATACTCCTCCGACCCCAAAGCCCAACAGCGTCCCAATGACCTCGTCTTCTTGGGCGCCGCTGCCAGCTTCCTGGGCGCTCCGGGCTGGCTTGGCTCTTGATTTGCGATGGCAAGGTGGCAATCCGGCTTTCGGGGCTTCCGTCGGACAGCTCCGTGGGGCTAAGACAACTCCAGCTAAACAGCACACACAGACTCTTGGGTACCGCCATTCCAGACGCCAGATGCCTCAGCCTCGCCATTCTTACGTGCAACCATGGAAAAAAGCATCGTGGACAACACTTTCGAGAAGCCACCCTTTCGAAAAGCCACCCCCAACCAAACGCCCAGCCCAGCAGCGTGTTCGCACGCTGAAGCGCTTGTTGGAGTTGGTTGAAGCGGCGGCTTTGCGACCTGCGGCCGGCTGCTGTCGATCGTTGCTTGTGGTTCGAAGGCTTCGGGCTTGGGGGTTCAGGGTCTTCAGGGCTATGAGTCTCTGATTGGGCCGAACCCTTCTGCCCAAGCCCCAGCCATACACCTTCGGTGGGTGCACATGAAAAGGTTGTAGATTTTTGGCTTATAAAAAATATGTTTTCTAATGGCAACCCTAATCGCTTCCCCAACTTGGGGGTCGCTCTCACCGCCATGTTCAAAAGCTTGTAGCACGCGCTTCTGTCACCTTGCTCTGTACGGCTCGGCACTTGCTGACTGAAAGATCCCCCAGGCTCGAGACTCCGAAGTGCTGGAAAGGAGGAGCTACGCTGCAACACGCGGAGTCACGGCACCGCCTGCTCTGCATCTCCGAAGTGATTGGGCTCCAGCTACTGGGGTCCACGGTCACCGGGTCCCGCGGACGCCTTAGGGTTCATGGGTTGGCTCATATCGTCAAGGCCCTCCGGCTTGGGGAGGCTTTCGCAGCTTGCTGGAGAACTATCTACACGACACCTGCTCAGACGGCGACCTATGGCGTTCTTGAGCACCCGAACCTCAAGCTGGCCTCACCTACCCTTGAAGCCTGCCCTCGATGCTTGCACTCCTCAGGGCCCTGCTCCTCAAGCCTTCAGCCGAAACTACTGAGCCGGCGAGTGGCAGGGACTTCTTCGACTTGAGGGTCGGAGCACCCCAGCTCAACACGCAGAGTTGCTTGGAGTTTTGGGGGAAGTCCTCGCGGCTCCGGAGGCAGGAACTCATGGCATCAGGGTGTTCTCGGGGGTTTGGGTTTAGGCCTTGCAGCCTGGACGAGTTAGGAGATGCTGATTAGCTGAGTAGAGATGCTGCGCATCATGGCTGAGGGCATCAGCCCAGTGACATGTCGGCAAATTCAAGAATCGAAGCGAAGGTTTGCCCCCCAAGCCGAAGGGTTAAACACCAAGAGCCTTCGTGGCCGGAACTGGGAGGCACAACCGCCTTTTTTCTTAGGGATCTTGGGGTTTCGGGCTTTAGGAAGTTTAGGAAGTTGAGGGCTTCGCACCCCTGAGCCCTAAGGGTCCCGCGCCCAGCGGTCCTTCGGGATCCGGACCTCGGCCGTGCCGCAGGCCACGTTGTCGAAGGTTCCCTCGGAGGTGCGACGGCCCCACTTCCTGCCAGCGAGGAGACCGGGAGATTCAGCGACGCCAAAGGACCGTGCAAAATTGTACGGGAATTGAAAACGACGAAGATGGGGGTCTTCCGTGCTGGCTTGGCTTGGTTACGCGCAAAACGCTTAGAATTTTCATGGCAATTGGAGACGCCATCGGGTCCTCTCTGTAACGTAGTCCAGGGGGCACGTGTAGAAGATCCGGAACAACAGGCCGTCAGGGTGGCTGTCGTTGTCCTCCCGGCGCCACTCATCTGCTCAAGTCTAGCCTGCGGTACGCCACGCTCCCGAGCCTCTTGTTCAAGGAGTGCGAGATCTTGAGGCTGCTGAGGGTGTGGGGGACGACACCCAACCCCAGCTCCTCCCCCAGACTCCCCCCTAAACCCTAAACCCTAAACCCTAAACCCTAAACCCTAAACCCTAAACCCTCCGGAGCTCCTCCGGGTCCCTCTCCATGCCCTCCACGCGCATGGGAGGCCGAAGGTCGGTCCAGAAGTCGAAGCGCTGGCTCCGCTCCTCCAGACACTGCTTAGGGGTTTAGGGTTTAGGGTTTAGGGTTTAGGGTTTAGGGTTTAGGGTTTAGGGTTTAGGGTTTAGGGTTTAGGGTTTAGGGTTTAGGGTTTAGGGTTTGGGCTCTAGGCTTTAGGGCCTGGGGGGGGGGGGGTTAGGGCTCGTTTGCTGTTTCTTGATGATTGGCTTGTTGGTTCTTGGTGATTGGTTTATTGTTATTGTTCTTGTGCACCATGGGTGTGTGTTGGTTTACGTTGGCCAAAATCAAATGTTGGGCAGGCTGTAGGCTTTAGGGGAAGAGTGTGCTTTTACCCTGAAGGGCATTCCATGAGGGCTTTGTTGAAGAAGGGCATTCAATGAGGGCCTGTTTAAGGTTCCGGTTGGTTGTGGGTGGTGAGGGCTGTGGCAAGTTGTTCAGGGTGGTAAGGGTTGAAGGGCTTCATCGTCTAATCCTTCACATCGAGTACAGGATTCGTATAGCTTTGCGACTGCGTGGGTTGGAGTTTAGAGGGGGCATTCCGAGATGCAGAGGCTTTTGGGGCATGCGCTGCCGCAAGGTTCAAAACATTGATGGAAGTTCTTTGCCCTCGGGCGTCGCCTAGAAACATGAGAAGAGACGGTAGGAGTTCACACAGTTCAAGACAGGCAGCCAGCAAACAGATGTCTGTCGCACACGGGAATCCATGATATTGGCCCTTGCGTCCCAATCTTGGAGTGCATCTTGACGAATACAAGGCCCGAACCCACAGGACGCATTCAGCCAGCGTCATCGCCCCATTGCTTTATAAGTAAGCTCACAAGCCCCAAATCCTAAACACCAAGCCCAAAACATCAGGATCTTGAAGCCCCCCAGCAATAACACAAAGTAAGATGCGTCGAGGCGCCTTGCTCGTGGGCGGGGGCTGAGGCACGGCCGCACGCAGCCCGCGCATGCGGTAGTAGGTCCTTGGGCCATGTCCAGCGTGGGAAGTTGGATGCTTCTGACCACTAGGGTCACTAGGGCCCACACAATAAATTTGGGAATACAATGCAAGATGATTATTGAAATAGTACGTGTGATGTAACATAATCATCATATAGTACCATATACTCTGAAGAAAGCAAAATGTCATATGATACTCATCATAAGAACATGCTATCATGCACGACGCAGATGGCTGTAAACACTGGGTTTCTGAAATTTGTTCGCTTCTGACCCTGGACCAAAGCGTTACGCACGCACAAGCCTCCGCCATTTTGGGGCACCTCTCCGAAGGAGATTTCATGAGATTTCCCATTCGTTTCGGCCCGGTCTCCAGCTCAACTTCTGCTCCACGGCGGCGACCGACCTCACCGCCCGCTCGCGGCCCCAGTTGGGAACGCAGCCGTGGATGTACTCCTCGGGCTTCGTAGGGGGTAGGGCGGTATAGGGTAGGGGGTATAGGGGTAGGGGTATAGGGGGTTGAGGGTAGGGGATTGGGAGCAGAGGGTTTGTGGTAGGGGTTTGTAGGGAGGGGTTCTTGTGCTTCTGGAGGTGCTGCTTTATGTGCGGTGCCTCAAAGCTGGGGATCTAGAGATGGGGTTTAGGACGGTAGCTCTTTGAGTCAGGCTCCCGTTTTGAATTGGTCCTATGTCCTATGTATAGTGCGGCACCCATGAAAGAAGGACCCCAAAACGGTCCTTAAGCAAGGAAAGGCAAGGCTCACCACCCTCATCCGGATTCGACCGCACGGCCTCCCCATCCGCGCTCACGTCGCCCTCGCGCCAGGCGCTGCCCAAGGGGGCCACCTTGCTCTTGCTGCTCAGGAACTCCTTGGGAGGAGCGCATGGGCCCCCGAACCCATGAACCCAGGACCTTCAAACTCCCAAAAAGAACTCCCTCCTTGAACTTTTCGAAGCCTCTTTCTAACTCGTCGACCTCCCCAACCACTCAGGCGCCCAAAAACAACCCTAAACCCTCAACCCTGCATTTCAAACCCTAAACCCCTACAACCACCACTCAGGCGCCCAAACAACTTCGGGACTCCTGTGTGGAGCAGCTTCGGGACGAGGAGGACACACTCAGGGTCAGCTCGCCACTGGGCCTCCGGGTTGAGAGCTTCCCAGAAAAAACTCCAGGTTCGACCCGGTTTGGGGTTTAGGGTTTAGGGTATAGGGTTTATTGTTTAGGGTTTCGGGTTTAGGGTTTAGGGTTTAGGGTTTTTGGAGGAAGGGCTTACGATGGTCAGAGACTGCTCAAAGGGTCCTCCAGGCAGTTGATCTCGTCACGTACATCGCCGGGACGTGGGGGGAGAACACGGCCGGGAGCATGGGCGCTGATTGGACCTTTGCTTCTTGCGAGTCCCCTTGAAGGGAAGACAAGGGGATTCTGTTTGAGTACCTCAGGTACGGGTTGTCGGGTTTGGTGCTGAACTAGCGGTTCTGGAGCTAAGGATCAGCATGCCTACTCACAGGCAACATTGTGCAGAATCAGTTGTTTTCTGTGTGCTCTCAAACACCTTCTACTCACTCATTGCATCCCCCAAACTCACTCCAGCCACAGGCTAAACCGTATGTTTTTTACCCGAGATCTTGAACCCTGTCCAAACCCCGCGAAGCGTCGTTGCTCAGCCGGGCCTTCTGCCCACGGTGCGCGTTGGCCATAAGCGTGGGCACACGCGCCTGCGTTCAAGGCCAAGTTTCATGGACTCGGCGAGGAAGGTGCTGGGCTTTGGGGGCACTAGCTCTGAAAGCATACCGACAAACATGCACCTGCTGGGCTTGCAACCACTTCCCCAGGCCTGTGGCTGTGTGGGAATCTTGAGCTCGATCTGCTTGGGTGGCGTCGGGTTTGGCGGCGAGGCCGCGGATGGGGTTGGCGCCGTGTCATCGCAGATGTCCTCCCCACGGGCAGAGGCATCGCTTTTAGGACAGCAGTCACCGACAGAGAGCAAGTGGTAGGCACTCATGACCACTGTTCGAAAGGGCAGGCACCCATGACCACTGTTCGACAAGTCCCTGTAGACATGGGCCCCATCTTGCCAGTGTGGAGCCCCTAAAAGAGGCATTCCCGTGGCCTGGTCCTGCTCCGACACTGCTTCGTCTGCTGGCGAATCCTGGGCAAGGCCTATTGTCAAAACGTGCAGGAGTTTAGGGCACCCCCGAGACCTAGCTGTCAGATTGAGGGAGTCTGAATCCGGCTCAGATGGTGGCAAACAGCCCCAGCGCCCCCTCACTCTCCAACTACAACCCCGCACCTCCGCGAAGAGATTCAGGGAGAAGGCATACTGAGGCTCCTGCAGGCTTCGGCGGGCTTGGGGCAACTTGGGGATGCTTTGTGATGAAGCCAACCCTCTTCAGGACTTAGCTTGGACAGGGTTTACTGATTCCCATGGTTCGGACTGCTTCGCGCTTCTTCGGATCTAGGATTTCAGGCTTCGCCACAGGGCTCCAAGCACAAACAAGAACCTCCAAGCGTCTCCTCTCTGAACGGGGGAACATCATAAACCCCACCTTCAGCCCGAACAACCCTAAACCCGAAACCCAAAAAAACCTAGACCCTAAACCCTCTGCAGCCACCGAATGGCTGACAGACATGCCCGCAAGATCCCCGCAAAACATCCACAACCCTTGGGGGCATCCTCCAGGTGCGCTGTGACCTGCGATGCGGGGGGGGGGGGGAGGGCTGTGGGAGGGTTGTCTCCCACGGTGTGACCGGCACGTGACTCCGGCTTCTATCACCAGAGAAGGATGAAACTTCAGGACATCTGGTGAGAGCTTCTAACCCTTGGGCGTTCGGCTGGCATGCGACACCATCCTCCGACACTCTGCAACCTTGGTCCTACATGACATTTGGGGATCTATTCCCTGTAGTCGACAACTTTTGCATGGCAGTGAGTCAAGACCCTACCAATACTCGAGAAGCGTCTCTCAGGCTCAAGCAAAAAATCATGCATCCAGAAACATGCCGAGACCTCGGCACGAGGCCGCGGCTCCATCATCGCGTTGAGGGGGGGGGAGAAGGGGCTCGATCTCTATCCCGGCATACAAAGACATGTTCTGCAAGGGCCTATCTTCCTTAAAAGCCTGAGAATCAAGTAGGTGTAGGGGCCACAAAGCTATAGGTAGCGTAAGCACATGTATGTGAAGACACGCACACACCTCCGTAAACACCGACGCGGCCGGCAGATGCGTTTGGCAAACGCACATCTCACAATGGCGCTGCATGTGGATATCAAGAAGACTAACCCTTTCCAACGGGGACGGTAAACCCTCAACATGAAAAATGAATCTGGAGTCTGCGAGCTTTCTCCCGTGGGCGAGCGGCGTCCTCCCGTTGGCTGAATGAAGGGGGAATCCAAGAACTAAAGAAGCTGACTTCGTCGCCGTGTTGGAGGGCCGTAGCGGGTATTTTGACCCCACCTGAACTGAAACCATGGTTGGTGCCATTCACGGTGTTCTTGCGGCAGGGCCAATGTGTGGAAACCATTGGGTGGGTAGTCTGTGGATTCCCCTGTGTACGTGGATGCATCTTTCCCGGGGCACCTGCCTCAGGCAGGAGCCAGGCATGGCTCCCCTCAGAGGAGCATCGATCAGCTTCCACGTCTACGGTCCACACATCCAGCCCTGAAACATGAGCGAAACTCATGAGACAAGTCATACCTCCATGGCTCGTCGAAAACCCAAAGCCATGCCTTCGCCCCGTAAGCGCTTCACCATTAGAGCTGCTACGGTACACGAGTGACAGTGACAGTGATCCCTAGAAGGCTTGTCAAAAACATATCCAGCTACTGGTACCTGCATCAGCTGTGAACCCCTCTCAATTCTATTCATGGGAATTCGGAGTTCAACTCTAATTACTTGGCCGGGTGTGTGTGCACTGCTATATTTTTTTTAATCCACGAGTCGGTGGCCTCTTGTCCAAGACCTCTCGGAGCATTGTCTCAGAAGAGGAAATTCGGCCGGCTCTCCGCGCCACGCTTCACGTCTTCCAGTTTGGTCAGGTGGCTTTGTTGGACTTAGGTTCGGGTTCGGGAAGGGTTGCGGGGGTGCCTTGTAGTCATATGCAAAGAGGACATAGGACATTTCTATCCGATCCACCATTCCCTCCCCCCCCCGCCATCACTGTGGACAATGGCTGTGAGCTCAGGGAAAGCCCTAAGGTCCTTTTTCAGGTTCGGAGTTTTGGAGCCACAAGGGTCTTGGGGTTGCTTGAGCGGGCGCTTCGGAGCTGCGCAGCCCCACTTCCTCTCGCCGCTGGCCGCTTTCCGGCACTCGGTGAAACGATCGGCAGACGGCGACAGAGCCGCCCCTTCCGTAAGAAGCGCCTGTGACGTTTACTCTACCCTGCCAATGAACCCAGGGACCTTGTTTGTGAAGGCCCCCAAACCCCAAACTAAGGGACCCTTCTCCCTGAAGTCCCGCTGCACCTCCCCGAGGCCCTTCAGCCCCTCACGGCCAGCTGCCACGCCCTTTTACCTGCTCTAACGGCTCCGCGTTCGGTCAAAGCTTCCCCGGTGCACTTCGTAGACCAGGTGCATGCCTCGAGTCCCAGGGGGTTCATTGCGCCAGACTTGCAGGGGGTAGATCAGCGGGCAATGATCCCCACGACTGCTTGAGCCCAGTGGAGCCCTTGCGCGCCTCAGGCACCTTCGTAGGGCTTTGGAGTTGCTAGGGCTAGGTTTTAAGTGCTTCAGAGCTTTCGACCTTCAGGGATCTAAGGCTTCCGGGCACGTTAGTCACCAGGGCCACGCCCGAAACCCTAAACCCTAAACCCCAAACCCTAAACCCTAAACCCTATACCCTGAAGTCGGGTGGCGGTTCTTGACGTTCGCATAACCCTCGAGGATGAGCTGGATCTCCCCGATGATCCGCAGCGGTATCTCCTGGGCTTTGGCAAGCGCCCAAACCCTCAAACCCCCCGCACCCTCAAACTCCTCAACTCCCCTAAACCCTAACCCTACACCCTAAACCCTTTTGCATCCAGGCCTCTTCGACCCTAAACCCCTAAACCCTAAACCCCTAAACCCCAAACCTATAGCCTTAAACCCGACACCACACCCCCACGTCCCCCTCTTGACCCCCCGCCCCCTGCCCCCCCAAAACCCAGAGCCTCACGCAAGCGCCTGATGGGTCGGCCCGAGGCTCCGTGCCGTCGAAGGCCACGTGCACGCCGAGGTCGGCGTAGCACAGCATCTTCCTAGGGTTTAGGGTTTAGGGTTTAGGGTTTAGGGTTTAGGGTTTAGGGTTTAGGGTTTAGGGTTTAGGGTTTAGGGTTTAGGGTTTAGGGTTTTTTAGGGTTTAGGGTTTAGGGTTTAAGGTTTAGGGTTTATGGGAGGCTCCCGGACTTGTTAAAAGGCTTCAGGGCTTCAGGGGCTTCGGCTTTGCGATGTGAAACCCTCCGTTAGAGTAGGGAGCAGCTGCTCCAGGTTGCTGACTTCTGGCCGCATGCCCCGATTTCTGCATGCCTCTGCCGCCCCAGTCCCTTCTGCTTGAACCATGACTTTGCCCAAGGCCCCGCTCAGCATCAACCCAAAAAGAAGGCGAAGGCAGGAGGCCACCAGGAGCCCACAATGGGTTTTGTTTTTTTGGGGAGTTTAGGGTTTTGTGTTTAGGGTGTAGGGCTTAGTGATCCCAGAAACCGTCTTCAACAAACACCAAAAGCGGAGCCAGGCCGCACGTCGGCGTAGCCGCCGTCGCCCTTGACGCCAGCAGCGAACCCAGACCTGAGGCTCTGGGGCTCTCTCTTTGCGCCATACGAAAACGAGGGCCACGGAAAATGGGGGGGGGATACGTTTCCATGGCTTCAGGAAGCCAAAAGTCGGACCGAGGTCAGGGTGCTTACTGAGGAGCGGGTAGGTTCCGGGGGGCCGGGAGTCAGGGTTCTTGTGTGCCACCTGCATCCTCCCGGGGGTTTTGAGAAGATTGGTAGCCAAGAGGGGGCCCTCACCCAAGCTCTTAAAGAGGGCCTAAAGAGAGAAAACTCGCCTTTTAACAGAAAGGCCGCGCCGCTTGACTCGAAGGAGCTGTACCCCATCCTTCTCGCTGCTGCAGTCCCGGAACTCCTGGTTTAGGGTTTTGGGTTCCTTTTTTGGGATCAGCCATCGTTTTGGGCCTAGGGTTTAGGGTGTTGGCATTCAAAGGTTTCGGAATGTGGTTCCTCAGGCTGTTGAGCTGGGATCTTAGAAGCTAAGGCTCTCCGAATGCAACTATCGCACAATCGAGACGCCAACTCACAGGCCATAACGACCCCAACTTACGTCTTAGCATGCTATCCTTCTGTGGGTGGGACCATGTGCACGAATTCGGACTCGCATCCTGTAACATCCAACAAGAGGGTTGGATGTGGCGTTCAAAACCCGAAACCTTGCGTCATGTTCCGTTTCCACACCTCCACCTGCCATCACCTGGCACACCGCCTGCCTGAGCTATCCAAAACCCTTCGGGGCAGAACGGCATGGCACTTCCGTCCTGGAGAATGCGCATGCAACATCGGACCTGCTCTGGAGGCGTCTCGCCTGGAGTTTTTCTGGTCTGTCGCGTGGACTGCATGAGCCAAGGCCCTCCAATCCCCGAAACCCTGATCCACCTTACGAGTCTGTCACTCCGTGAGGGCAGGCATGAGGGCCAGACTACAAGACTACCAGGAAGCAAGTTTCGACTGGCCAAATATGGGGAGATATGCTAAGGCAAGGCCATCGAGGCAGCCCGTGGTTTTCTTGAGTTCACTTCACTTCTGATGGTTTGGAAGAAGGCTTTGAAAGGATGAGCTTCGTCTGGTTTTGGCTGGGTGCCTTCCGGCTACTTTGCATCAGCCCATCCCCAGGATGTAAGACCTAACAAGTAATCGCAAGCCAGGTCCAGATCGTCCCACCCCCCCCCCCCCTCCCAGGTCAGAACAACCACAGCAAGCCATACAGGACGGCCCACAAGTTTCGGTAGGAGGACTTGCGGAGGTTCGAACTGAAGCTCCCCCTGCCTTTGCAGACGAAGCTGAGCCTCACGGTGTCCAAGATGTAGAAACCTTTGTTGCCAAAGGGGTGCACGGACCTTCCCTTCAAAAATTCGTTTCTGGAACACAAGAAGAAAAGCCACTTCCTGATCACAGACCCCCCAAGCTTCCCCCGAATTCTAGCGGATGTTCCTGAACCTCAGCTAACCTTGCCTTTCCCTGAACCCTGCAGCTGCTCCACCGCGTCGAACATGAGTGACTTGAGACCCCACCCCGAAACCCGAACCCTAAACCCGAAACTCGAACTCCCGAAACCCGAAACTCTAACTCCCTAAACCTGAAACTCCCTAAACTCCAGCCCCCTAAACCCGAAACAACCCCTGTGTCCACTTTGGGAGTGAGCAGCTGTAGGCGTGGCGCAAGTAACTGGCAGGCCGATCTGGCCATTCCCAGTCCTTCCGCTCCTGTCAGGTTTGGGTTTCGGGTTGAGGATTTGGGGTTTAGGGTTGAGGGTTTCAGGGTTTCAGGGTTTCAACTTTAGGGTTTAGGGTTTAGGGTTGAGGGTTTAGGGTGCTTTTTTCGCTGTTTAGGGTGTAGGGTTTAGGGTTTAGGGTTTAGGGTCCAAAATCGCACAAACGTGCCAAAACCCACGTTGCCCGCCCTCCGTCTCCTTCTCAGCCTCCAGGGTCTTCTCCAGTAGCCGAGCTAAGCCTCAGCTCATCGGCCCAACTTTTCAACTGCCTTGACAGTCACGGGCCGCGGTGAGCCAGGCATCCTCACGGCAACCCAAGGGCCGAGATTCCCTGGATCCCAGATAGCCCCTTGGAAAGCACGATTCAAGCGACTGCAACCTGACTCCCGAAGGTGCAAACATGATGTTGTCCGATGACGGGCCGAAGGGCGCTTTGCCGGGATCACCGAGCTAGGCATCTCCACCGTGAGGTTCGCAGCCTGGCGCGCGCGGCTCACCACGTCCTTCATCTTCTCCTCCGGGAAGGCGGTTGCGGGCATCAGGGTTTCGGGTTTGGGCTTCAGGGCGTAGGGTTTAGGGTTTAGGCACAGGGTTCGGAAGCTTGTTGAAGCTGCTGCATTTCCGGCGCGGCTCCTGAAAAGGAACATTGCATAGATTGGAGTACGTGACGAAACCACGGGCGAAAAGCTCTTTCCTCAGCTGCTCTCCGGACACCGAAACATAGCCATCACCTTTGATCTCATGATCTCTCATGCCTCACAACATTTAGAACTGCAAGCTTACTGGGTTCACGAAACAGGTCCACTCTCAGTGGAAACACAGCGACAACTTCTACCACCCAAGTTTCATCTGCGAGTGCGTGACCTGTCGGAGGCTGCTGTACTCCGCAAGGGTGGACCTGAAGCGAACTCTTGAGACTTAATCTTCTTGACTCTGAAAAACTTGGGTCTAGCAGTAACAACTGGGAAATGACACTATGGAATGTGCTTCGTGTTTTTTCACCATCTGAGCTGGTGTGTAAGGTTGAGTTCGGAGTTTCGGCGTCGAGACTACTTGGGTCTCATGCACGTCACCCTGGAAATCAGCAGCTGTGCCTTGGAAACCCTTATGTCCTCAAAGCCCTGGAGCCCCCCTAAACCCTAAACCCTATATAAACCCTAAACCCTAAACCCTAAACCCTAAACCCTTTTTCGATTGAGCACGGGCTGCAAGCAAGGGGCACGACGCAGGCGTCCTTGCCGGTGAGCCTCTTCGAGCGGTCCTTCGGCACCCCAAGGCGCGCAAGCTGCAGAAAGCAGCTGGCGCCGTCGTGGATCCTGGTACTCTCCGGAGGCCCTACCATGAACGTGACGCCGCGCTGGGAGCAACATGCTAAGGAAAACATGCTCGCTGCAGAAGGAAACTGTCTTCGAGCTGTTTGCCTGTGCAGCATGGGTGATGCTCCCAAGTTTTGCAACCGCCGAGGCTCTGCTGCGCCCAGGAGGGGTCGTAGCGCAGCACCTGCCTCTCCTGCGCTGAGCACAACCGCCAGCGACGCAAGCGACGCAAACGGTTCGGAAAGCATACCTTCCGGGAGCAATTCAAAGGATTAAGACTCGTACACCCCAACTTATATTCCCTTCGAGGACCTTTCACCAGGGCCCCCCAAACCGAAGCGTATAACCTTGGGGGTTCAAGTTAAAGTCACATGAGCAATACTCTCTTGGAACGCCTTCGCACTCAGGGCAACTTCGCGTTTCGCTGGACCTTCCGCTCTCCTGGACGGTGCGCCAGAAGGGGTCCTCCTGCCAGGACTCCGGAATGATGACCTGGTCCTTCGGCACCTGAAACCTCGGCTTGGGATACTCGCGGCGGATTTCAGGCCCCTGTGCTAGGCTCGGTTGCCAGGCAATGTTCGCTTGGCATTTGTAAACCCCCCCCCCCCCCGGCAATTTCAAGAAGAGAGTCCCGAAACTCAAGTATAAACCACCTGCTCAATTCAAACGCCCAAATCCCGGGACCGGGATTTGGTTCCAGGGCTCCCCTTCTGGAAGATTTAGAAGAGGCCAGCCCTTTTAACAACAGGCCACCCCAAACAGACGAATGCCGAAGTGCCGCCCTGAACCCCCGAAACCTTACTTACAGTCTGACGGTGGCCTTGCAGCAACAAACCAATCTGGGAACACCATGAGTCCCACCCAAGGGGCAAGTCGTAGCAGGCTTGCATGGACAGGGCCCGCTCCAGCGAGGGCGCCTCCGCCTCAACCGCCTCCGGGGAGGGACCCTTGAGGTCCTCAGCCGTCGCGGCCTCCGCAGGTTTGTCTCGAAGGCAAAACCTTCTTGGGGGTTGTAGTGTAGGAGTGTAGGAGGTTGAGGGCTTAGGACTGTAAAGGAAGGTTGAGGGCTGACACAAGTTGCCGAGAGTTCAGCGTCTAGCACGCTGGGAGGCATCAGGGCCCTTGCCCCTCAGCACCTGGTCCTGCTTGGCTACACCGGCAGCAGCATCCATCTCCCGCCGGAGGAGGCTGCACCTCGGTCCATTTCCAACAATTTCTTCCCATAGAAAACATCCACAGAAGCCACGGCAAAAGACTTCTGAAAAAAAAAGAGCCGGGGGCGCTCTGTCGCGAAGATCTGGAGTTGATGCTTCACGGCCTCCATGAGCCGATCTCGATACCAGCCTCAGGTTTGGGGCCTCCTTGCCCTTGGAGGGACCCGAAACACGAAGCCTCAACGAAAGCCCTCATCACAAATCCCCTAAACCCTAAACCCTAAACCCTGAACCCTGAACCCTAAACCCTAAACCCTAACCCCTACAAAAGATGCCACCCCCGGGAGAGCCCAGCGGCTGCGGTTGTCGTCCTTGCGCCACTTTGCATGCACGTGCGCGCACGAGGCCTGGCTGTCTGGCCCCAAGGTGGCATTCAGGAGGTACCTCCGTGCGTCAGCGCAGATGGCTTGGTGGTTGGGGGGGGAGGGGGGTTGTTTCGGGGCCTAAAAACATTGAAAAGCAAAAACAAACAACCTAAACCCGATGATGCCGAGACCAAGGTGCTTGGCCAAGAGCTTTGCGGGGCCTTGCAGCGGATCAGTCTGCAGCAAGCTGATGATCACGTGCACCCATCCTGAGCTTTCATAGCACGCTCTCTCACCTTCTCTCCTCTTTCAACATGCTGCCCAGAAACTTCACCTTGCAACTCCTCAAAGAGGATCCTTGAAAACCCTTACACACGGCCCATGAAACCCTGAACCTCAAGTCCCAGGAGGTATCCGTCTGGGGGCGATCGATGAAGTGCCTTAGCACCACGCGCCCCTCGAAGGCGCCCTTGATGGCCAAGCGGGGGTTAAAGAACAGGCTCTCCTTGGCTGCTGGGTCAGAGAGAGGTGTGTAGGGTGCGGGGTAAATTCCCCTTCGAACGCAGGGCAGTGGCACCTGCAAGTTAGGGCTTGGGGGGGTCGAATGGGGTGGAAGCCGGCAAGTCCCATGGGGAAATAAGTCAAAGCCCCGCCTTTCCCACACAACAAGAGGGCAAGCCAGGTCTCGTGCAAGCGCAACCGCTTCTCGAGCACGGCCATAGTCAACGGCGACCCCAGGCTATCCTTCGTCAAGTTCGCTTTGCAGCCATTTGCAAGGCTGTGTGGGCGTTTTGCGCATTTCAAAGATCACAACTTCGTGCAGAGGTCAAAACCAAACTGCACGTATATGTAAACTTTTTCGCCAACCCAAGACAAGTAAGTACTAATAGCTGTAGAATATTACAGCGAAAATGTAAGAGGCGTCGTAGTCGAAAAGGAGTAGCAGCAGCAATAGTAGTCGTCGTCGCCGTAGTAGGCTGCAAAAAAGTCGGGCGGAGAGGGCTCTGGCTCAATCATGTTTTCATTTCCTTTTCCCTTCCTTCCCTTCCTTCCCTTCCTTCCCTTCCTTCCCTCACTCCTTTGAGTTTTTTCCCTATCCCCGTTTTCTGGGTCTGCTTTTCAGATTCAAGGGTGTTATCACTTTGAGCGTTTGCACAATGCGTCTATTGAAGGACCCCCCGAATGGCAGCAACAAAGCTCGTCCCGGTTGCGGCCCAGTCACAAGGAAGCTGTCGATGCCGCTCTCGGCTTTCTCCAGGAGTTCTCCCGGAGAGAACTCGGGCTTCAGCATCTCTAAGCATTCTCGCATGGATTCCTCGCTGGCGTTCTCTCTGGCCAGCCCCACTCGGCCCTGCTTCTCCTGGAAGCCCCTGAAAGCGGCTTGGAGTCTTGGGTTGAGGTTGGGTGCGACAGGCTGTGTGTGGGGGTTGCACCCAGCAGGGGGCGGGCGCGGGGGTTCCTGGGGGGGGGGGGGTAGGTACCTAAGGAACTTTAGGGCTTAAGGACCCTCAAGACCCTCAAGACCCCTAAACCCTAAACCCTAAACCCTTCGGGTGCCCCCTTCTGGCCTGGCTTCGCCGACGACCATCCAAGGGCTGAGCCCTGCTTGGTCCACGGCACTGGGGTCCGCCCGGAGGTCCAGCAAAGCCTCTTCTTGGAGATTTTAGGGTTTAGGGTTTAGGGTTTAGGGTTTAGGGTTTAGGGTTTAGGGTTTAGGGTTTAGGGTTTAGGGTTTAGGGTTTAGGGTTTAGGGTTTAGGGTTTAGGGGAGGGGACCACATTCGTAAACCCAAACCCCCAAGAAGCTCACGATGAACTGGTGAATTCTGCTAGTCCATGATTATCTTATCATATAAGTATAAAGTTCTAGTATAGTATGTTCTATCTGCCACTTCGATCTGCCACTACTCTGCAACGCGAAAGCCAGAACTTGGCAGCCCAAAAAATGGATGTTTCTAGAATGGGTGCCCATGCCACTTGGAAGCCTCGAACCGGAGCCCCGAAGCCCTTTGAGAAACAGTCCGCCCTGTTCACCATGTCGAAGCTTGTTCAATGCTTTGGGGTTCTTCTTCCATGCCTTCACCACCGACGGCTGCGAATAGCAGGCCGCATAGTGGAGGGGCGTGGCTCCACTGCTATCCCTCCTTGGCTTGGCTTTGTGACAAGGCTTCTGCTCGTGGGGGGGGGGGGGGGGGGACGGGTCGAGGAGTTTAGGGGCCGGCAGATGGAGGAAACGCCTTCCAAGCACTGGCGCACGCTATGCTAGCATGCGCTGTCTAGGGTCTCAACTCTTGTCCCCAAGCCTCCAACAACGCTGCCGAGGCTCTGCTCCAAGCTCGCGCGGCAAGCCATCAGGGCCTGGAGGTCGGCCGCCGAAAAACGTCACAAACGTCGCCCAAAAACGTGACCCTCCCATGGTTTCATCCAGAAGCATGAACGAAAGCCCTCTTCGGGTCTCTGGGGGTTTTCGGTGGTTGGGCCAAGGGCGTGGCTCCTACATAAGTCGTATGAAGTCATCTAACGCTTCAAGAGACTGAGAGGCAGCCAAGCACAGAGGCGCGGAGCGTACTGCGCGCCTGGATGGTGGGGACATTTCCCGCGATGACCTGCAGGCGTTCTACACGTTCTGTCTAAAGGCCCCGTAGTCCTTCAGCAGGCTTGCGGGGGGTTTCCCGAGAATCTAGTGATTGGAAGCATGCAGCCTCATGAGGCCTGCCTTTGTGAGAGAAAAAAAAAAGAGGGCTCAGGGAATCTCAGGGACGGGCTTTGCGAGGGCGTACGGAGCTCTGGGGGGCCCTTGCTTGGCTCTTAAATCAAAGCCCGGGCGGCCATGTACATCAGCGCGGTGTGGCCCTCCAGCCCGGGAGAGTTGGGATCGGCACGCTGGCCCGTGTGGACGTACCTCGTAGTGGGACTGCACCAAGAATTTGTAAATGTTAGAGGTCTGGCAGGGTCTGGGGAGGAATGTCCCGGTCCAGCATCCCAGGTTGCAGAATATGGTAGAGCTGTGGGATGTTTCTGGCGTGTTTCTGGAGTTTCTGCTCTAGGCTTTCAAGCCTTGTTGGGGGTTGCAACAGTATCATTGGTTGATACACCAATGCTCTCACTGTCTAGAGACACTGCTCACACGTGAAACCAGCTACAGATAGGTCCTAGGAAGGTGAGGCCTGTTCTCCGGCGAAGTGAGGAAGTGTTGACAAGAGGGCTGAAATTCACATCAGCTCCGTCACAGGGATTTGCACGGATGTTCTAGTCGATTCCTCGAGAATGTTCAGGCTTCTTGTTGCATCCTGTTTCTCGACGCCTCCGCAACGTCAAGGGAAAAGAGTGCCTGCAACTGAAAAAAAGCTCGGGATGCTTGGTTTCATAAACGGGGCGATCTTGCAGCTTGTTGAGTGCGGTCAAGGTCGACCAACGGAAGCCCAAGCGGCCCATCGTCATAGAGCCCCTTGCACCTGACCGGATCAGTCAGGATCACGAACACACAAGGGACCACAGCAGGCTGCACGCAGCTGGCGCCACAAAGAAGCCCCCGAGGTTGATGTTGAACGCAGCCATGTACCCTGAGCACTGAAGACCTGAGGCCCTGAACCCGCAATCCCCCAAAGAGGCGGCCCCAGGCGCAGTCGCTGGGCTCCGGCGGGGCTAAGGGAGCCGCCTACCATCGGTGAGGCGAAGAGCCTGGGGCGTGCGAGGTCTTGGGGTTTGGAAGTTCTTGCTCAAGCCCCAAATAGCAACCTCTCCACAGCCCTTCACCTACACCCTTGACACTTCCTAGCTGTAGAGAGAGGGACAACACCTGCAGAAATACCCTGACAACATGCGCCCCGTGAGCCATCTCTTTCTCAACCCTAAACTTCCCAAACATGTCCTTCTTCGCCCTAGCACCCCCCTTGCCTCATCTGGGCGCTGGCCGCATGGCTGTATGGGTCCAGGGCCTTTACAGATGCACCGGATTGGGAGTTGGGGTTTTCCCGAACAAATGCTCAAACCATCCCACATTGTATGCGGAGCTATGCACGGTCTACACAGTAGAGCATGGGTGATGGTTGGTGGTTCGCGGGGTTAGAGAGGGACGAAGGCTGCCAGGTTCTCCGAATGTTTCGGAAAGAACCCATGGCAACCTCGCCTGCATCGCCTGGCTCGGCAAACCGGCAACGCATGCGACCTGCACTGAGGTTTGACCTGTCGTGAGTCCTAGTCAGGACAGCCACCAAGCAGGCCATGAGCCTGACAGCCAGAAGCCGCCAAGACCGCGTTCTGTGCAGGAAAGAGGACATGCGGCAACCGAACATGACCGCGCCAGAGTGGTTCCGGCGTTTCGTCTTGCAAGTCGACGGTAATCATGGCATTGAAAACCGGCAGAATGTGCTTAGCGCAAGCTCCGGTGGCCACTTTATCCACTTTGACCCTGTGGCACGTGGCGTCTTCACAAATTGGCAAGGCGAGAAGAGACGAGTCTGTCTTTTACAGGCATCGAAGCTGTTGTAGCAGGAGTGTTGAGACTGGGGCACATCCATGGAAAGCGGACACTCGCACTGGCCCATCCTGGGTTCGGAGGCCGTTTTCTGGTCAGCCTAGAAGGCCGGCTTGAGACGACCAGAGCTTAGATGATGCTCAAACACACAATTGGGGGAGCGTGACGTCTACGCTGAAGCTGGACCCCCAGCCTCCACGGTCTGAGCAAAGGCATTGCCGTAGAGGTGCCGCAGCTCTGAGAGCATGATGCCCTGCGAAACCCAAACGACCGGGAGAAAAACTCAAACGACCGGGGGAAATTGAACCAGGAATCCTGATCATGTCTAGACTCTAGACCACCTCCTTCTCAATCGCACGAATCCCTTACTAGACACTTGTAAGGCTGCGGTTCCATTCAGCCCGGTCCTCGGCGTTCTCCCCTGCAGCCCACCTGTGCCGAAGGCTTCAGAGCTCAGACTCGTTGCTTTGGCCGCAAAATTTCGAATTTTGGGGCTTTAGGATGGCCCCGCGTCCTCGCGACCTAATCTCCGCTCAGATGTTCAACTTTCAAGCCGCAGAAAGAGCAGAACCAGAAAGCATCACGAAGCCAATTCTGGTTTAAACATGTTTAAACCAGACCGTCGGGGCGACAGGGCGGGCTGAGGCCAATAGCAGAGCACTGCAAAAGACCCAAAACCCCCACAAGGTCAGAATTCTGCAGGGATGCTGGAACACGTCGCCGAGGTTCACGTGTTTCTGCAGTGCTTCGAGGCCTGTGCGGCTCTAGGCAAGACGGCAAGCATGCATTGGTGATCAGAGTACTGGGAGAGAAGGGTCAGGCTTGCACTTTCGCGCCACTCGAAACCCTGAAATTCCTTAGGTCAACTTGTGGCATCGAGGCACCATACTCGTTCTGCGTCCGCGCCGCGAAGCGCAGCGGGAGCAGCCGGCCCGTGAACATCCTGAGCTGAGGGTAATTGGGCTACTTGTTGGGCCGTTTGCCCGAGGATTCATGACAGACTGACAAGCAGCCCGACATAAGCCCTGAGCCATCCGAATCCTTGAAAGTTGACGTTGCCGCGGCCCTCTCACTGCTGCTTGGCGTCTGGCCACACTCCCTATGCACGTCGGCCTGGCTGATCTCGGGGACTCTGGGTTTGGTCTCACACCGCACTGCAGGGACACAGAAACGTTCAACAAAGAGTCCAGACATCCGCTCACGTCCAGGTGCCCTAGTACCACCTTTCAGCTGCCATGAAAAGGGTTTGGTGCTTCGCGTTCAAGGTTGAAAGTTGTGGGTTTAAGGCGGTTGAGGGATGTTCGGCTGCATCTGGGAGCTACTCCTGCAACCTGCACTGCAGACAACAAGTCTAGCAGCCCCCAATGCCCAAGGCGCTTTTGCTAGGATGAGCAGCTCCATGGCCGTAGCGACCAGGGGCCCGTTGGCACACCTCAGGTGTGGAGAGCTGGCACAGGTTCCGCAAAGCTGAGACCCGAAGCGGTGCGCCCTACTGTAACTCTCGGTCGCCTGAGCATCCCGGAACTTACGAAGGGAAACGAAGGGTCTAGCCGCCCGGCCAGACTCCCTCGGCCTCACCAAGCACCCGCTATCACAAGCAAGACTCGCGCCTTTGCAAACAACAACCTGCGCCTCCCTCTGAATTCGAAGCCATTCAAAATCAGATTCCTAACTCCAGCATGCCAGCATCCAGAGCCCTAGGACCGAGCTCGAACAGACGCCGCGGGACGCCGGAGTCATGGCGAGGAAGATCAGCGGAGTGTACTGGTTGAAGGACGGGCTGGCCTTGTTCTGCCATGACCAGGATGCTTGGGGTTTTGGGGCGAATTAAGGGCTTGATTTGTTTACCTTCTTCGGCTTTGGTGTCTCTTGGGTGACCAGCCCACGCTTGAGAAGCCATTGAACAGTAAATGCAGTTCCCGAGCCTAGGGTTGCGTGCTGCAGGCTTCAAAGGGCTTGGGGGGGGGGGGGGTGGGGAAGGTTGCTTTACGGTATGTCGGCCAAGATGCAAGCCCGGCATTGGGGTCCGCCTTGCTAGCCAAGGCGGACCGCACGTCCTGCACAATGCCTGGGAGTGGCAAAAGGAGGTCAGCTAGAACAACCGTTGGATTTGGATGCTTCCACCTGGGTCGGGGTGCCGATTTGAGGCTGCATTCGGCAATCTGGGTACTCAAGAAATAACGGGATTCCCGACGCGAAGCCCTGATGGCAGCCGAGCCGCTTGGGTTCTTGTGCCCCTTTGAGCACATCTCAAGCAGCCGCACAGAAGGCTGGAAGTCGTAGCCATCGAAGAGCCACACCTCGGTTCCGCACACGGCTGAGGAGAAAGAGGCCCGTAACCTGGGGAGGCAGGACAAGGGAAGACGACGAGCCCCCAACCGATCGAGTGGGGAACAACAAGGTTCCGGCACAAACGCATGAGAACGTAGTTGTAGAGGACTCCGGCATGGTGTACTGCCAAGGTCACAGAACTGAGTCCTCACCTCTTTGGGCCCCTCAGCTTTTGCAAACGACCCTCCACTTCCCGCGAGGCGCATGCTTCACCTTCCGGCGCAGCTCTGCCTTTCGGCTGCCAAGGATCCGCTGCACAGCCACCTGCGGGCCGAGATGTTCCGCTACGTCACGGATATTCACGATTGAGGGTTTTTTGGGGGGGTTGAGGACCCCAGAAGGTGCCTCAATTTGTTTCTGTTTGTTTGACAGCTCTGCAAGTCTTCTGTAGGGCGGGGCCCGCACGGTGGGCGGGGGCGGGGGAGGTTGCCCTCTTTAAAACACTCGAGTCAACCTGCCACCTTGCAGCGGATCTCCCCGAAAGCAGCAGTCAGCTCTTTGGCATATTCCCGCCACTCAGAGAGGCTGATGCCTGGGCATCGCGGGGAAGAGTGACTTTGCTGACTGGATGTTTCAGGTTCAGCTGCTTCTGAATATAGAGATTGGCTTGTTTGGCTTCAAAAAGGCGTGCTTGACGGGTGATGCATTGCCTACCGATGCGATTAGAGGTTGTGGCTCAAAGAGCTACAAAAAAAATCTATATATATATATATACATATAATTACATATATATATATATATAGGGGCTCAAAAGAGGCTCAAGAACCCCCTAAGACCAGCCAGCGCACGGCCCTCCATGTTGATGTCGGCATCGTCGAAGTTGAAGCTGAAGCGGCCCAAGAAGCCGCCCATGGCCTTCGTGCTGGGCGTGCTTAGGGCTCTCTCTAAAGCGGCCTTCGGCCTTCGGCCTTCTTCGGGGAAGTCTGGGGTAGTTAAAAGCTTAGGGTTTACCTCGGCGCTGTCTCTGCATCTGCGCGAAACCCACATTGTTGGCACCGTTTTCGCAACATTGTGTCACACACACACACACACACACACAAGGATCGCGTGGGTCGAAATCGCGACCCTCGCGAACATCCTGCCACAGTGAACTTCAGAGATCCCGCAGGCTGGTGTGGGGACCCGCCTAACTACTCAAACTGTAGGGGCCGAAGCTGGCCGGAACCTGGCGTTTCAAGCACTTGGGCCTCGTGATGCCTCGTGGCAACATGAGAAGGAGATCGCCTAAACATTCCACGAGATGCCCAGCTTTTCCGGGACTCGGGCGAGCGAGGACAGTCTAGCTTTCAGGTGGCTTTGCGAAAGAAAATAGGGGACCCCTAATATATATAGACCCCCCAAATAAAAGGATCCCCTTATAATGGGGACCCCCAAGAAGGTACCCAATTTCGGAAGCCACCATTTCGGTGCTTACTTGTTCATGGTACTTGTCATTATTTCTGTACTTAGAACCCTAAATACACTTACAAGTACAGCTATCATTGGCTAACAAGCACCATGAACCTCCAAGTAGGGGAATGTTTTTAAACCCTAAACCCTAAACCCTAAACCCTAAACCTAAACCCTAAGGGGGCAAGGCCTGCTCGAAGCGGAAGCTCATCGCAGCGAACTCTGCAGGCCAGAGGTAGCCGCAAGCCTGGGGGGGCGCGGGGTCCAATGTGGGTTTCGGGTTTCGGGTTTAGGGTTTAGGGTTTAGGGTTTAGGGTTGAGGGTTTCGGGTTTAGGGTTCAGGGTTGAGGCTTTCGGGTTTAGGGTTTAGGGTTTAGGGTTGAGGCTTTCGGGTTTAGGGTTTAGGGTTTAGGGTTTATGCCTGTTTGGGAACTTGTCATCTTGAAGGAGGGCACAAGGGGACCGGGAAAGCTTACGTTTGTACCGGCAACGTCGGCTTTCCCGCCACTACAGCTCCAAACTAGGTATGTACAACAATCCCAGCCAACGCAACTTCGGACGTCCTCCACGTACTCCGTTTTGTACCATTGGAGCTTTGGACAGCACTACAGAAGTCGATCGTTGAGCCGCCGGAGCTCCGAACACCCTCCGCATACTATTTCGGTAGCACTAAGCCAGAGTTCGGAGCTATTTGCATCCAAAAGCGAATACAGTTTGTAGGAGAATGCGCATGGGACAGAGGGGGGCGCCAGGAAGTTCCAGTTCCCAACTTGTGTGGAGAAAAAGATCCACGAAACCGGGGCAAGATGTGCCTTGAAAAAACCACGTGTCACGGGAATCGTTTCTACAACCATGGAAGATGGAATGTTCATGCGGTTCCTGTAAAAACGATATTGAACTTACAGGGTCTTTCCTGCATTTTCCTCGTCGGTTGAGGGCTCGCAGCGATGTCAAGGCGGGATGGAAGTGTTTCGGAAGCTGCTTGTCTGGCTCTGTTCCCGCCCTACACCACACCCGGCAATCCAACTGCTCTACTTGCGCGTTCCCTGTGCAGCTTTTATTGCTCAAAGGTTGTGGGGTTTCTGCTGCGGCAAAGGTGCTGCCCCATCGAACTCCTCAAAGATTCGCTTGGTCCAGGAGTCTTCCTTCAGCATCTGCCGGCCCAGGTGCTCCGCAGTATCCAGATCCATCTGCACGTCATTCCTGAGGGCGAAAGTACGAAGCGTGTCGAACGTCGAACGCCTACACCCTCGACGCGGAACCCAAACCCCGAGCTCAAACTCTTAGATCGGACTGAAGGAGAACCAGTGGAGCCCTCTCACAGCTTCCGCCCATGGCTCAGAGGGCTCTGGGCGTCGACGTCCTGGGCCTGCGCCACCGAGGCTTGCGGGTGGCGGTGCCGCAGGGCACCCTTCGCCAGTGCCGGCAAAGGCTCCACCTCCAATTCGTGGAATTCGTGGGTTTACTGGGACGGGCCTACAGGAAATGTATGGGGAAAGTCGAAAGTGAGAAGGATGGGGCTTCAACAACAGGGAACACCAATGCACCACCATGTGCATCCATGAACGGCTTCTGGGCCAGCTGCCCACATCCCGCCGAAAAGAAAACCCTCGGCGGCAGCCTCGAGGTGCGCCATGGTCCTCCGCACCGCGCGTACGGAGCCTGGTGTGACCGCGCGGCGCTCCTTCCCGGTCGCACGGGTGTAGGGTTATGGGGAGGCCCCCGAAAAGGCTTCGCTACCGAACTCCCCCCGAAGCCTACAACTCTTACTCGCCCAAGCCCTACAAAAGCCGACAGAACCAAAAGTGCTGTGCACCTTCGAACCCTTCGAACCTTTCGCACCCTTCGAACCCTTCGAACCCTTCGAGCCCTTCGAACCCTTCGAACCCTTGTCCTTCCGCGTGCCGCGCGAGGCCCAGCCCAAGCTCCCAGCACTCCGGTCCCGAACCAAGGGGCTCCTGGGCTTTGGAGGAAAGAAAGATCTGGGCTAAGGGGGGATTTAGGGTGTCCGGGAAAGATATACCCCCAAGGCCACCCGAAAAATTTGCACAACGAGCCGAAAACGAGCCATACGAAGCCGAAGCCGTCCATTTCTTGTTCGCAAGCCTTCGTGAGTAGTGGAAGCCATCCAGCGTGGCAAGAAAAGATGGGCTGTTGCCAACCGCACGCGGGTGCCATCTTTTCTAGCCGCACGGCGATCACTGCAAATTCGCTGGGGGTGGACCACCCTACTTGTGGCCGACACGCCCGTGCTTGCCGGTGCACGGTTCTATGAAATGTTCTGTGCTGTTTAGATAAATTTGCAAGGCTTTGGGCCGAGGTTTTCAACTGACCTCGGGAGTTGCTTTGTGCCTGATCCTGGGGCCTTTTTGGGAGCCATAGCTGATGGCTCAGCCTGCAGCTTTCATGGGGTACCCGTACTAAGCCCTTTGCTTGGACTAGTCACACCCTGGCTTCGTATTGGGTAGCACGGCTTCGGCTTCAAGGACCTCCCACTAGGACAGTTGTGTCTGTAGGGTCCGTGCTATGAAGAAAGAGAATGGTTGAGCTTCTCCAGGTTACATAACACTGGGTTGGCCCGCAGCTTAATGCCCGCTGACAATATTGGTACTTGGAAGCTCTTTTGACTCAAAGTGTTGGTAAGTTGGGTTCTGGGGATTTTTCATGGGTTTCTAGAAGGCTACTGAGTAGGCTTACTAAGTCAGCAGGGCTTCCATGTAGACGTGATCCTCCTAAACCCAAGAAAGGCATATCCCGGGACCCTCTGCCCTAAACCCTAGACCCTAAACCCTAAACCCTTTGCGAGCAACGGACTTTGGAGGTTGCCGGCAAACATGCAACCCTAAACCCGCAACCCTGAACCCGAAACCCTAAGCCATTTTTTTTAACCCTAAGCCCTAAACCCTAAACCCTAAGCCCTAAGACCCCTTAACCCTGGTCCAGAGGCAAGGGGCACCGGGCTCACGGGCCGGCTCGGGTGGCTCGGGCTGATCGGACTGGTGGGGCTGCTGGCCTCACCGTGGCTTGCGGCTCTGGGACTATTTCGGGTGCTTTTTGCTTCGGGGCTTGAGTTTAGGGTTTAGGGTTAGGGTTTCGGGGTTAGGGTATAGGGTTGTTTTGAGTTGAAAGCACATGGGCTGTCAAAACCTAGAGGCCACGACGGAGACATTTCATGGAGGGTATCGCTGCTGGGGTTACAATGGGTATCGCTTTCGTAATAAAAACCCTAAACCCCAAAACGATGCTATCCGGGGGTATCGCTGTCGGGGTTAGGTTCGCTTCCACCGCATCAGTCGCTAACACAGGCCACAGGACATGCAAGACAACAGGACGAAAATATGAATAATCATCATCATCGTCGTATTTATCATTCTTATAATGATTAAGTACTATTATTATTTTTTTTATTACAATTATTATTATTATTAAAAAACAACAACAAAATAAAAACTAAAAGACAGCACGTGCTTCAGATCGCCATTTCGAGAGGTAAGCGGCGCATGGTCGGCTGCTGGGCCGAGGGCTGCTAGGATCGAGGATTACGTTGCCACGTACCTGGGCTGTCGTTGCTGTTTGGGTTTAGGGTTTAGGGTTTAGGGTTTAGGGTTTAGGGTTTAGGGTTTAGGGTTTAGGGTTTTAGGGGTTTAGGGGTTTAGGGGTTTAGGGGTTTAGGGGTTTAGGGGTTTAGGGGTTTAGGGGTTTAGGGGTTTAGGGGTTTAGGGGTTTAGGGTTTAGGGTGTGGTTTCTGGACAGCTTCCTGGCTGCCTTGGCTTCGAGGGATTTCGATTATTTCGACTGTGGAAGGCCCCGCTAAAACTGCGTGGCTTCTAGCCGTTCGCCCGCAAAAGGAAAACACAAAGATGATGGAGAACGGCCAAGATGCTGCCCGCAACTCCTTTGCCGGGCAGCTGGTGGAGCGCTCCATTACGTAGGCATGGGGAGGAGTAGAGCTAAAATCCAACAAGTTGGACACCATGGACACCACGCTTCAGGCCCCGGAAACCCACGCAATGGTAGTCTTGCAATTCCCGCCTCATACGATAAAACCGCGGCACCTTAAGGGGTCCAGGCCTTAGACGGGGTATCACCTGTGATTGTAGACTGGACTTCCCATGTGGTCTTTTCATCACCTCCACGGTTTTGATCCAGAGTGTCCACAGCATGCTGGGATGAGTGCTCTGCAGGATGGGCTATTCGGCTTTATGATCCCCATAAGCAACACGATGAAGGACCTTAAGGGGGTACAGGGTAGAATAGCCAACCCTAGACCCTAAACCCTAAACCCTAAACCCTAAACAACCCGCAATGGGGTGCCTGTGGCGTAGAGGTTCCCTAAAGTTGCCGCGGTCTTCGGCTGCTTTTTTCTCACCTGGTCGGTCCGTCGTGCCGCCAAGCCAGCGACGCAAGCGCCAGAGCCTTGGCGAGCTTGTCTGGGGTTTAGGGTTTAGGGTTTAGGGTTTAGGGTTTAGGGTTTAGGGTTTAGGGTTTAGGGTTTAGGGTTTAGGGTTTAGGGTTTTAGGGTTTTAGGGTTTTAGGGTTTTAGGGTTTTAGGGTTTAGGGTTACTCGGCGCTATCTCTGAGTCTGAGCAACTGAGCGCGACTGCACTGTGAACCAGCACATCATCGGGTTTAGGGTTTGGGGTTTGGGATTTAGGGATTACGGGCTGAGGGTTTTGGGGGCTTAGCCTCCCTCGCTTGCGCAGGTTTTGCAGCCTTGCAAGATTGGAACTCTTTCTTGCGGTCCTTGCGGACCCGACATCCACAAGCCCCGAACGACAGCACACAGTTAAATGTCCATTGCGCACCAACAGGGGAACTGCCCGCACTGAGCATCCTTTGCACCTTTGCTCATCCAAGCGGCCAAGCCGACAGTGAAGCCTGTCCACAGAGCATGCGGGGAGGGAGGTGGGCAAGTGAGGCAAAGAGTGAGAGTGGGAGGGAGGGAGAGAGAGAGAGAGAGAGAGGGGGAGAGAGATGGAGAAAGCGACAGACAGAGAGAGTGAGAAAGGGAGAAATCGACACAAGACGAGATTGCAACCTCCTTATCTCGCGACCGGAAAGCCAAAATCCAATGAGCCTTACAGCTCTTCTGCGCCAGCCAAGCAACACACAGCCACTCATATGGAACTATCCGGAAGACTAAGGCCTAACGAGGTGTCCAGAGCAAGAACTGGACAAATCTCGTGAAAACCCTTCACTCCCTGCTAAACCCACGGTCTAAACTGTGTGGACACTGATCACCAGCCTGTCAGATGCCCAGCGTGGTCAATGCCAGTGATCCCGACGTCCCCCTTCATGGATCTCCACTCCTCCCCATGTCGATCCACGCAGATGTGACACAGCCGAGCAAGATCCCACAACCGAACCAGTACCCCAAGGCGACGGTCCTGTCTAGGGCCTGCGGGTTACAAGTTTCACTCACTCATACCCACTCGGCTTGTTGAGGGACGTTGCTGTAGGAAGCCCGCACCTCTGCGAGAAAGTGGACAGACTGCACGATGCTGAGAAGTGAAGCTGTCCTCACCCGAGAACTTCCCACAAGCACAGCCACAAAGACCCAAACCTTGCATTCCGTCCGGCGCTGGGTCTGGAACGATCTGACTGAGGCTTACCTGATGTTTCCTGCTTCTGGCCCTGCGAAAGAAGAATGTCCTTGTTGGGTTCTGTATCGGCACTAAGGTTAGCTTAAACCTTGAACTTGATTCCCTACAAGCTCTCTAAACTCTAACTATGTACATTCAGGCCCCAACTTGCGAATACACAAGGCATGCTCAATGACACATCAAGGCTGTAGGCCGAGGCCGCAAAATTTGTTAGCCTTGCTAGGCGTGTCAAAGGCACAGCGCCACAGCCCTGAACCCCTCCGTCCCACAGCCTAAGCCGCGTGATTCCTGAACCAACTCTGAAACTACAAAAAGCCAGACGCTGCAGTCGACAGCCTGACTCCTAGGAGCTGCAGAACCCAAGGAGCCCAAGGAGCCCCAGAAGCCCAAGGAGCCCAAGAAGCCCCAGAAGCCCAAGGAGCCCAAGGAGCCCGAGAAGCCCAAGGCGAGAGAAGACAAGGCATGGTCCCATGGCCGAACCCACCGGGGGGCCGGGCGACTGGATGGTGCTGCGCACCTGTCGGGAGCCGCGGGCCTGGGAGGCCTCCCAGAAGCGAAACCTGGGCCCAGGGGGGCGGGGGGTTCCTTGTGGTGCTTGAGTCTAAGCCTCGCCGGCGAGATCTCGAAGAGTAAAAGTATGACAAGGCATCCCAGCATTTGTAAAAAAAAACTAGAAATAATAACAACAATAATTTTAACAATAAGAGTAATAAGTAATATAACAAAACAAAACAACTAAGTAGTAAGAATCAAAGGTTGCCAATTCTGATCCGCCATGGAGCAGAGACACGCCGAGGCCGAAGCCCATGAGCCCGGAGACCCCGGCCGAGGCCCCGCAGCCTTCGCTCCGAGCCTCCACCAGCCTCCCTCCCACCTCCGCCGTGCGGCGGCGCAGCCTCTCGAAGAGGGTTTAGGGGTTTGGGGTTTAGGGTTTAGGGTTTCGGGTTTAGGGTTTAGGGTTTTTTTTTTGCCACCCGCCTAGCAGAAAGGGTTTAGGGTTTAGGGTTTAGGGTTTAGGGTTTAGGGTTCGGGGAGAGACGACTGTGTCCTTTGCGGCCCTTCCTCTTTTGCTTTCAAAAGGACTCAACAGGACGTGGGGATGGGGCTCGCAGACTCGTTGCCGCACGGCAGCTCGAAATGCCTTGCTAATATTCATGGGTCGGCGGATGTGCCTTGCAATACGAAAAACCTCAGCAGCCCCCCCCAAAGCGCCCCAAGATGCCGCCAAGAAGGCCATCTCCAAAAGAAGCCGGCCCTTCTTCCTGAAACCGGTCGCAGCATCCCTCGAACCCAAAGCTCAAGGCCTAACCCGGAAGGTGCCCAAGCTTTTCAAACCCTGTGCCCTCCGCATGTGGCACAGCACTAAGGCGGCAAAGCCACGTGTCCCACCAGCCGCGCGCTTTTTCCGGGATTGCCACCGGTCCCAGGCGGTCCGGTGCGCGGGGAAGTGATCCCTCCAGCTGCGCCTCCACTTCGGGTTTGGGGGTTTAGGGTTTAGGGTTTAGGGTTGAGGGTTCTGAGGTGTTTCGGGCGCCAGGTGACAGGGGGCCTGCAAGTAGGATCTGGCCCGCACATGCTCAGGTTTCGTGGCGCCTCACCACTCGGAGTTCGGTCGCGCCTCAGTTTGGAAAGATCGCCCCCAGGTGTTCAGACCGGCCAGCACGCCGCTGCAGAGGAAGACTCCATAGGTTCCTTCCCAGGCACGTTGCTCTAACAAGGGCCCACTGGACTAATGCACCATACACACCCGGAGATCCTAATTCTCTGACATCTGGGCGGCCTTGCCAGCCGTGTTCGTGAAACACGACGAATCCATTGGCCAACATGCCCCGCATGTTCTGCAGCAAGTGGTCCATGTCTTTGTGCACGAAGATGTGGGTGACACTTCGCCACCACTCTCCCGATTCCAAGGCGGGCTTGTTCAACACCAACTTCCCACATGTCTGCAGCATCTCGGCCGGGGAGAGAAGCGTCTGCCTTCCCCATGACAGCTCTCCAGTGAACGCCTCATGAAGCGTCGGCATCCTCGGCCCAAAGGCGAGCATAAGCACAGACTTCTACAAGAAAGCCCTTGCACGGTGCGAGGGGACCGCTTCCAAACCGTGGCTCAGGGCCAGTTTAAAGACTCCTTGAATCATTCCTAGCTGGGGCAGGACCTTTCTGTCTCAAAAGTCGCAGGCTTTAACATACTATCTAAAGGCCCTAAATTCACGGACTCGAAGGACTCTTGAGTTGATCAGGTAGCAGGCGGGAGGCCGAGCTACACCACGCTGCAACTCTCACTCCCGCTCGAAAAAATACGAGCATACTCAGGCCACTTCAATGCCAAGCGTCGCCCAAATTGAGAGCAGGAGCGGCCCTAGGCACAGAAGGTACTCCAACTCTTGCTCGAAATGCCAGCCAACCATTCCACCATGTCATCGCCAGCGGCACAGCAATGACCCGGGTCATGCAGCTTTTTTTGAGCCCAAAAACGAGGTCAGCCTTTGGACGGAAAATTGCTATCAAGCAACGCAAAAAACATTTCCAAAGCGATGCGCCGTGGTCACAGCAGTTGCCATGCTGCACCGATACTGTATCCCTTCCTACTGTCCATCTGTCTATCTGTCTAGGTGGAAGCTTGCACACCAAAATCAGTTGGCTCTGTGTCAACCGGTCTCGCCTGCTAATGCTAATTCTCCAAATCTGAAGCCACAAAACGCTTCAGCCTTCATTTCTGCTCATACTCCACGCTTCTGAACCTGTATTGACGAGGAGGCATCGTCATAACCACAGGGCAGGTCACAAGCCGTGCCGACGAATGTGGATGCAGCAGAAATGTGTGGCGTCCTCTCCGGGTCGAATGCACAGAGAAGCCATAAATGGCCGAGAAGACAGTCGAACTTCAGCTCTGCAGCATCCTGGCAGAACGGATGCCAGAGATGCACCCCTGCACCGGCAGCATCAATCAACAACGGACGAGCAAAGTCTCCAGATTTTCCGGCATCCGCTGCAGGGTCCCTTCAGATCTGCCTGAGGGAGTTAGTGGTCTCGACGCACATTGAGATTGAACACCCATTGAATGTCCCGCAGCCAGCAAATTGACGCCCAAAGGCAATCCGAGGGCGGAGCCCAAAAACCACGACAACTTGCCAACTTCGCCAGGAACGGGCCCTCGATTCACCGGGTAATGGTACCCATTCAAGTCAAGCCTCAGAACTCCCATTTCGGCTGAGGAAATTCGGCCTCGCTCAGGCAGGAGCTGTTGAGATATGGGCCACCGCGGTCCGCTCCCGAAAACGCCTGCCAGATGCTGTCAAACTCTGGAAAGGAAGGCTGGTGGAGCCAGAGCTCGTCATCCCAGTGGGCATTCCGGCGCACCTTTCGGTAGCCATGACGCTCCAAGAGTTCCACCAGCTCCTTTGCTGTCCACCTGGTGCCTGTAAACAAATATAAAAAATTAAAAAGAGAAAAAAAGCTTCGAACCAGCGACGCGGACCAAAAAAAGTCATTACCTAAGAGAAACCCAGGTTCTGGCTTGGGCCTCTCGACAGTGATGATCTTGAAGGTGTATTTCTCAAAATGGAAGTCCCTCATCACCATGGTCTCAGCACCTTCAAGGGCAGGAAACGCGACGCCCCACTCTGCGCCGGGGGAAATCCCAAGATCATGGCCGGAGCGCCCGAGGCGTGGCGAAACCCTCAAACCCTGTGTCCCAACCTGCCCGCAAGTTCAAAAGACTCCGAGGGGTTTAGGGTTTCTGCAATCTGCACGATGCCACCATGAGTGCCTTCGACGTCCAAGGACAAGTACTCGATGCTGCGCGGTGCTCCCGCGTGGTCCAGGATGTCTGTCAGCGAAACCAACGGCAGCGACTCTAGCGGCCTCTGCCGTCCATGGTGTGTAAAAAAACCCTGCTAATGACATGACGATTGATAGTACTCAAGAAATACGCAAAGAAATACTTCGATCCCCCCCCATCTACAGCTCACAGGCACTGCTTCTGTCGCCGGGAACTCCACGAAAGTACGAAAGAATGAGAATAAGAATTAGAATACGAAGGAGAATAAGAACGAGAATAAGAATAAGAACGAGAATAAGAACAAGAACGACAATAAGAACGAGAATAAGAACGAGAACAATAACAAGAACCAGAACCAGGAAACAGAACGAGAACGAGAACGAGAACGAGAACAAGAACAACAAGAAGAATGAGAATAAGAATAAGAATAGAACTGGAATGGGAACATAAAACAAGAAACAAAGGCTCAGAGTTGAGAACTTCAAAGCTCGTAAGCTTGGGATTTGCGCCACCGGCCTTTTGCCAGGGTCGTGGTTGTCTGTCTCTGGCGCGACGATGCCTCCCCAAACATCGTTCATGACCTGGGATGTTTGGGTAAGTTCCAAAGTGAACATGCTCACATTGCACGATAATCGTTGGAGAGGAAAAACAAGGGAACCTGCACGCTAAACGAACCCACGCGGCAAAGTCCACCAACGTGTCTACGGGGCTTCCGGCAGCAGCCAAGTAGAGCTTACAAGTCCGCTGCTTGTAACCATAAACATATTGGCTATTAGCCTCTATACAAACACCGCGCCAGCCCCCGAAGCTTTCTAAAAACACTGTGTTGGACAACTCGGTAGCGTTGTTCGAGGCGATGTCCACGAAATACCCGCCTTTGACACAATTCAATAGTGTCATGATTAGCCAATCTTGTCCGCACTGGCTATGCCTCCCTGAAGGCGGAATCCTCCAGGGCCCGTGGCCGACGTAATAGTTAATGACCTTGAACCGATCATCCACATAATGATTGGGCTCCGATGTTGTTGCCAGTACGGACATGGTCGTGGTGGTGATCGTGGCCGTCGCAGTCGCCGACACAAACGTAGCCGTGGCACTGGCCGTGGTGCTGGCCGTGGTGCTGGCCGTCGTACTGGCCGTCACGCTGTCTGTGAAGCTGGTTGCGTCAACAACCTGGCACAAGCATGGCTGGCATGGCTGACATATTTGGCACGTGACAGCCTTGCAGCCTTGCCGAAGCTGGGATGGGGCAAGGCCCAGAATCAAGCCCAGAGCTGCGCCCAAAAAGAAGCTGCGCTTGCTCAATTCCATGCAACTGCTGAGTGCTGGCGGTAAAAACCTCGATCGGTTTGCCGCTGAAGTCCCGGACAGTTGCTGGGCCGGGAGTGAACGACATGAAAAACAAATACAACATGACTCCCACAATGGCTGCGTCCATGCATACAGACATCGACCCGGGTCGAATGAACTAACTACGAAGTGGGGCATTAATGTATACATGCATTAAAGTATACATGCGCTTCTGCATGCGCAACGTGGAACTTGAAGTGGGCACGTGGGTTGCCACAGCGTGGCATGGTGTGATGGGTGTGACTGACACGTAAACCGGCAGAATCTGGGTGCGATAGAAGCACGATATCGTACACGCATGTGCTCTAAGCTAGCCTTGCAGGGGCATATGGCGCACGCGTCGGATGAAAGGTCTACTGCAGCATCCTGCAGCAAGTAATAAGGCTTAATAAGGAGGCACAAGCACCTCTCCAACAACAAAACGAAATCGATCGCTAACTCAAAACGTTTTCAGACTTGTGGATCCGAACTTGCACTTGCATACTGCGGGGAGCTAAGTTCGTTTGGCGCCAAGGCAACACAGCCCAGGTTTTAAGGCCTCAGGCTTTTGAGGGCTCAAAAAGGCTTCGGGCTATTCCGGACCACCCGAACCAGGACTTCAGTTTGATCCGCGCCGTGGAATGATCAGGATCCTAGAAGCTAACACATCCTACGAAAGCAAGATAAGATCTGAGCTGCAATAGAACACCGACCAAGCTCCGTCTGGAGGCCTTTTCAACTTTCAGGAGCACCCAGATGACGCGAGGCTCCAACGCGCCACGTCTTCGGCTACCTTTCTGGGGAGACAAACTCTTCCATCTTTGCATTCGTCACGTTGTCTACTCTTGCTCCTGTGCACAGGGAATTGGAACATCTGCAGGCTGCTTGGCACAGGTTTTGCAAAATTCCTGGCTCCCAAATGTTAGACCCTGAAACTCGACGTCAACACGCTGCGACAGCTTTCCGGACTTGGGCTTGCCTTGCCTGCTGTTCGTGCTGGCGCTCCTCGAGCATGGCTTCACCTATGGCAAGCATCATCATGACGCCTCCCAATGTTGCCAACATGCCGATCACTGCGACCATGAAAACATCCAGCCAGTCACTTCTGGACCACGGATAAAGATCCTGGGCCACCACACAAGAAGCAAGTGCGCTCATCACCAGGCTGGACAAGAGAAGCTTGGCCTCAAGAAGGTTGAAGAAGTCCTCCTGGTACGGCTGCAGCTTCAGGTAAGCCGCGAGCGCAAGAGCCAGAACGACCATCGTGCCAGTGAGCTGTAGAGCAGGTGCCCAGGAAATGGGGCAAATCATGCGCAAGGTCATGAGAAGCATCTTTCGCACTAGGCGCTCAGTCTCGAAGGCGGCAAACTGCTCCTTGTACGCACTCGTCAGGAATGCCACATGGGTAGGCTTTGGGTCAGCTTTGGAGTGCGCAGCCCAGCTCCACAACGTAATCACGCCGGCAAAACAGAAAGCTATCAGGAAAGGCACGAGCAGTGGGGCCCCAGGAAAACCCTGAGGAAGATTTGGCTGGATCAACTTGGTGTCCGGGCTTGTGCGAAAAAACACCAAGAAGCGTCCTAAGCTTCCACAGACTGCGGGCAGAAAACAGTTGCTGCCAATCACAATGGAAAGCCATGGGTCCACGAAGCAGGCCAAGGTAACCAAAAGTGTTGGCAATGCCGCGTTCATGACAAACACGAAATGTAGATCCCTTGGTAGGCCAAGGAAAGCTCCGACGCAGTCCATTGAACTGCCATTGTTGTTGCTGTTTCCCTGCAAAAACTCCACTAACAACTCCGACCAGAACCAGGCGTCTCGGATTCCTTCAGGGACTTCCGGTTCTTGCATTTTTCTTTTTCTTGTTGCATTGGGTTCTCACATTTTGGGCTTGGGGCAAGCATATTCTAAAATTGAAAGTTTAGCGGTTTGTGTTGGCTCTGGAGCCTAGACGTATGAGCCTCGTCGGAGAAGTCCAAATGTCCTCGTCTGCATCACTGCTGACAGGCAACTTGCCGAGACAGTGGCAAAAGACATGGCTTGGTTCAGCAGAACGGCGCTGCGCTTGCGACCCTTTTTTGCCACGAAGGCCCCACGCATCGCCACAAAAAAAATCATGATGTTGGTTGATGCCATGTACAGAACTTGGAACCACCAAGTTGGCCATGTGGAAGGACATCTGATGTAGACTCCGGGGCTTGCATCAGACAGTCCATAGCCGGGACTGGGCAAACCGCACGCGACGCCGGTATAAGCTTCCGAGCACATGGGCGACTGTCCGGTGGAAGCAGCGTGACCTCCCGGACATGCAGCCATATTTGGGCAGTGGTGATCGTGCGAAAGGCGATGGAGCTCTGAGGTGCTGGTCAGACTGGACATGTCCGGAGGCACTTCGATCATGAAGCCTGGCTTCATCTCCAGATAGGTGCTATTGCAGACTCTCGTATTCATCGGGCAGCGCATACACGTCGGATTCTTGGCCAGGAGGAGCTGAAATGTCCTGGGCTTGCAAAAGCCAGGGTGTAGGAAGCTGTCGCTGTTTCAACAGCAAGTGCAATTACCGGGATTCCGAACTAGCATCGGTGCTTTGAAGGTCCCTTGAACAGAAACACCTGGCCACCAAACAACCAGCTGCCAAGCAACATTCTGACCTGGCCTCACCCCGGAAAAGATGACTTCTCTCGCACCTGCTCTACGACTTTCTCATCTTTTTCCGTTCTATCGCATCTAGCAAAACCAAGTGGAACTACAAACCACAGGACTTGTCATGGGGACAAGATAAGATGATGATGGATCTCATGCACTTTGAGGCTCAGCTGTCGATGCACACACAAAAGGAATTCGAGAAAGCAACACATCATGTCATCTTCAGCTATCCGAGTATCCCGGCTGGGCAGGCATCGCAGCCAACATGTCCAGCATCCCCCCAGCGTTGAAAGCCTGCCCGACAAGAGAAACTTATCTAGAACAAAGCGCACAGCAAGTTTTTCAAGCCGCGGCCTGCTGCGCAGCGAGCTATATCAACGCGGCATGTTCTGGATATGGCGTGGCAACCATCCACTTGCGCACAATCCATCTCGACAGCATCCAAGTGGTCCCCTGCCTGGACATAAACCAAGCGCGAGCTGCCATAGACAAAGGCAAGCCTATCCAGGGTGACGTTGCCCGCGTCAACCGCCAGAGGAGTTTCCGACGAGTCAATGCAGTCCTCAACGTGGACTGTTCGCAAGCTGGCCCCATTGGAAACATACAGCGCAGACCCGCGACCCGCAGAAGTTCGTCGGAACTCTAGAGAGCCTGTACCACCTTCATGCTTGATTTTGCCATTTGCAACCGACACGGCTCCACCAAAGAGCTTGGCTGAACACCCGGCAAAGCTTGCCTGCGAGTCACCCAGCCATGCATCACCATTTGAGATGCGCAATGCACCACCACTACTACGGACAGCAGCGCAGTCATCAAAGTTGATCGCACCGCCCACAACCCAGAGGCTTCCGCAGTTTATGCCGAATCCACCGCCGCTCATTCCAGCGGTGCATCCCTGGATGGTGGTTCTGGAATGATGCAGCCAAATGCCACCATTTCTGGTGGCAGCACTTACGGGGTACCCCTTCTTTAGAAACACCGCCCCACCGTAGCCATGGAAGGCTTTGCAGTTCATGAACTGTGCAGACGTGTTCGCCAGAAAAAGGCTGCCCTCACCAATACGCAGGCCTCCCCCGCTTTCACCTGCAGTGCAGTCTCTGAAAATCGCGGTGGTCGTGCTGAGCTGTATCGCAGCGTTTTGAATCGATCGGCCGCCGCCCTTGACCACGTTTAGGCATCCGCCGAAATCTTTGGACCTGCATTCGTTGAAGCTTAGCATCCCGCCAACAACATTGAGTTTGCCGTCGCCGAGCCACAGACCCCCACCGCTTGTCCCAGCCTTGCACCTAGCAAAGCTTACATTGGAACTTTCCAAGATCACGTCGCCTGCAAGTAGCGCGATTCCCCCCCCCGGAGCCTTTTGCTTCGCAGCTGCTCGTGCTCACGGTGCTCCTTTTCAAGGTGACCTGCTGTCTAGAGAGCAGAGCCCCACCAGACCATAGCGACTCACAGCTGTTCAGCTCCATGGAGGAGGTCTGCAGCTCAAGCGCACCAGCATCAATACAACCCCCACCCTTGACTGCATCACGACTTGGTGGCTTCGATTTTTGTTTCGCCTTCGATTTTCGCTTCGGTGGTTTCTGGGTATCAGACAGGCATCCGTAGCAGCGAAATGAGTTGTCCAGTTGTAGCATAGCATGAGCAACCTTCAATGGCAAGGGTATACAATGAACAGCCCTGTTCCTACACTACCCTCAAGCACAGTGACTGGCCATGTGCTGTCCCAGAAGCCCAAACAGCACCCCCTGACCTCGCTTGGCAATCCTGGAAAGTCAGCTTCCCACCTACAACCAGCAGATTTCCGGACACATGGAGAGCACCACCCTCCCCTTTGCTATGACAGTTCTTGACCACCAAGGTGTGCATTTTGATGGACATGTTGCCCTCGACGGTCAGACAAGCGCTTTTGAGCTGCCGGTGCCCTGCAATCTCCAAGCTTCCTGTGAGGTGCAAGTTCCCCTGGGTCGTGATTGGCGCTTCAAGCTCCAAGATCGTTCCGGCTTGGCCCTTGATAGTGCACTCTCCCTCGAGGAGCAGACTCTTGCGAACGGAGTAGCGAGTTGCCTCCAGCTGAAGGATGCCATGCTGGCAATTGTCCGGGAAGGGCTGGATCGCAGCCAGAAGGTCCGTAGCCACTGCTGGCTTGCCTGAATGTAGGTGTAGGTCGAAGGACAACGTGCGTCCCTTTCCTACCTCGACACCTTTCCACTAGAAACTCGCTCCCCCCCCCCAGACAAAAAAAAAGTCTCTTCAGCAGGTGGCAAAGCATCAGCATTGTCCAATTTTGCCCGGGCGCGCTCAGTTCTTGCAGGGATTGCAAAGCCGATAAGCAGCACAAGGTCACACAAACGGCCAGGGGCATGGGCGCAACACCTGAGAGTTAGGTAAGGAGGGCTTGGAGTTAATTAATCTGTATACGACCACAGAACTAGTGCCATCCTTTCAGCCTGTGTGGAGATTCTTGTGTAAAAGCAAGCTTGACGCCTTGCCACGCAAAGACTATAGTTATCAGGGAAACTCCAAGGTGTAATCACAAGCACTGAGTTGAGAATACCGTTAAGCCATGCAGGAGCGAACGCTCTATTTTCTACTGCAGAGGGCTTGCGAGGTAATGCAACGGGACGATATGCACATGATGTTAAAATGCAAGGGTTATCGCAATGCAAAATTACACCCCCCTCGCCGAGTATTGGCAATGGGAAGGCGGACTGCACTGCAACCCTGAAACATCACTGAGCGCACATCGGCCTCGTCTTGCGACGGGCAAGCGATCACCTCGCGGGAGTAGAAAAGTGTTTGTGTTCACTAAGACATGCTCAACAGCAGCACGTCAGACACATGTGAATTCGATTTTGCTCCGAGGGCAAACAAAAGTCCGAAAATGCTTGCACTTATAAACTCCAACGATCGCGTCAAACCCGGAGGTGAGGATCGAATTGGTACCGTCAGCCGTTAAATTGAGGTGCGGCGCCGGTAGTTTCGGAGTTGTCACGATGTGACCAGTTGGAAATTAGGCGAAAAGAAGATTCATCTTTCTACTTGTGCAAAGCAACAATGAATATTGGCCTCCGCGTTAGCGGGGCGATATCAGTCGGATTTGCCTGCAACTCGGCTTCATTGATGAAAATATGGCACTACAGCTTGAAAGGGGCGGGGGGAGTGGTTTCACCACTGACGATTCCATCGTCCCCCCTGGCGGTAGCTATCCGTCCATTCATAGCGTGGGGCACGGTACTGCTCGCCACGGTTCTGCTCGCCCTTTCCCCTTCCCTTCGGCTTGGCTGACGCAATCTTTGCCTGTGCCTCACGTGACCGCTGGGCATCCTCGTCCTTCGCCAGGTAGGCTCTCTCCGCTGGTCCCTGGTTCTTGCGGATCAGGTCGAGAATCCAAGCCCGATTCTCGTCGAGGGACCATCGAGAGCTGCCTTTGGTCGGCTCCGTGCCAGTGAAGGTGACCAAGCGATGAATCGTGTCGGACTTCGCAAGGATCTGGATGAAGTCCTCCAAGCTCATGATGGCCCCGATCCAAGACACTACGAAGGCAGGATCGTCCGGCGTGGTCGCTAGACTCGCAGCAATCAACTCCTGAGGCGTGCAATTCACGAAAATCAGCCGAGCTGTAGTAAACGGATTGTCTGCCTGAAATCGGGCACCAGTGCCATGGGATCCTACCCCTAGGCGACGTTGTGCCTCAGTTCTTCCTTCGTTTGGCAGAGCGGCGTTAATTAGAAGTTGGAACACACGCATGTCGTCAACTCCATGACCTTGATCAATCATTTGGAGTGCGAACTGTGCGTCACCGCGGAACCTGTCCATTATGCCCTCGAAGCCCAAATTACGTGCACGCTTGGCCATCTGCTTTGCTTTAGCAAGCGTCTCGGCCTCAGGCGAAATGGCTCCACGGGTGCCTGCATCTCTCCGCATCTCCTGGAGGATGTCGCTGTCTGAGAGGTCCCGATGGTGCCGGCCCAACGATGCTGCAGCACATTCCTTTGCGAAGTAACGTGCCGATTGCAGCTTTCTGCGATGGAGTTGGGAGCGAGGGGTAATAAAGGACTGACCGCAATGGATGCAAAGGGTCTGGCCGATGAGGTAGTCGTGCGCGCACTTGGGGCATACCCTTTTCGCATAGCTTGTACCGCTCTGGCTCGAAGTTGCCTGGTCAATTGCCTCAGCATCTTCGGTCACTGCAGTGCTTGGCTGGTCAGTCTCCATCGGATCATCGGCCTCAGCGTTAGCTGGGCGAGATGACCCTTCGGTTGACGGCCTGGTCCAAATGTAGGATCCGTCCCTAGTGTCGCGCACGTAGAGTGCACATGTGCCAGGGACTTCTTCCGAACAGAGGACGCTGTCGCTCTCGGAGATGAAAAGCCATGCATGCTGCAACACAAGCTTCGTCTCGTAGACGATTTCGATGGGAAGGTCGGCACGCACGCCACTTTTGACCTGGAGGTCCTCGAGCGCTGCAAGGGCAAAATAGTTGTGTGCCTTGCCCGAGTCTCCGAACCCAGGTTTCATCGACCCCTCGACAATTGCCAACGCAGCATCTCTGGTAGTCCTGTGGTACAGTCGGGGAGGACATTTTTCAATTGGTAATAGCGGCCTACCTGCGAAGGTGGCGGTATCTCCAATCTCCTCTTGACGCTTAGGGCTAAGCCAAGACACTGCGAGGTCTGTGTCTGTGAAGCGGTCTCGGGCCGATTGGGCGTGGCCCTGGGCACAATGGATCCAGACCGGGTAAAGGTCCTGGCCAAGTGCCTGGGAGCGAAGAGCATCTGGCATACACCGAAGTGAGAATCTCGCTTTGTTGTCATGGTAGACGATCGAGAAGATGCTTCTTGTCCCTAGGAGAATCTTGTACCGCGCCAACACGATGTCGATGAGTTCATCAACGAGCATCCATGTCCGATCCCACGATCGCCCCGAGCGATGGCCTCTGACCAAACCAGTGATCCCCCTCATGATGTGATGGGGAATGTCGGCTTCCTCTTCAGGCTTCAACTCTGTCTGAAGCACATGGACCATTCTGGGGTCGTCGAACGGGATCGAGTTGAAGTCATCGCGGTTGATTCCACGCATCTCATCAAAAGTGAGTTCTTCTGATCGGGACCACCCAAGGTAGTAGTCTTCCATGTCATCAACGAAAAGAGACGGCTCGGCCTCTGCTTTCGCAGGGCTATCCCTCTTCTCGGTTTTGGACGACTTCACCTTGGGATAGGGGACGATCCACGGTGCCCGGCGCTTGACCTGCTCAAACGAGCGACTGTCGAGCTCTATGTTTCCCTCACCCTCAGGTTCTGGGTCTTTTGAGCTCGAAGCCGGCGTTCCCTTTCGGGACGCAAGATCAGCGTCGCGAGCCTTGGACTGGTATTGCTTGTCCGCATCTCGCCTTAGATGCCATTGCTTGTGGCCTCCCAGGCGGTAGTTGCTCGTCTCGCGAGCGACCTGCTCTTGCGACAACTCCACATACGGTTCGGTATCTGGAGCAATAGTCCTCTGCCAAGGTTCAAGAGTGAAGGCCCGTGCCGGAATCATGTGTCGATAGCCGGCGCTACTTTTTGACCACTCCGACTCGAACTCAGCAGGGACTCTGTAGCGCCCACCCTCACGAAAGGGGTAATCACGGGCAAGCTCCTGCAGCAGATCCTCCGGAACGTGCTGGGCCATGTCCTGCACTGCGGCCAGAACCGACAGTGCTGCCAGGTAGTTTGCCAGGCGGCTGCGGCTTTCCCTGTCCTCCCGAAAGTGGTACACATCGTAGAGGGGCAGCTCACCAGCCATGTTCGCAAACTCGAAGACGTTGCACCCCTGACCCTTGGCGTAAGAAAGCAACACTTTCATAGTTTCCTCCCATTGGTGTGGCAAACTATAATACGTTGCACGCCCTGGTCCAGTGAACGAGATCGCACCGCAGCACGGCCTGCCCTTGAGGGCGGCGATTCGTCGGATGTTGCCACACACTCCACTGGCAATCTGCGACCAATCGCCCTCAGCGGCGTAGCCTTCCGGGGGCATGTTCCAGTGCTGGAGATCCGGGGGGATAAAGACCCCATAGTTGCCGAAGAGCTCATTGCCCTGCCAGACAACCAGTATGTCGATCATCTGCTGTTCCTGCTGTTCAGGGGGCAACTGGGCCACCATTTCGTCGAAGGTTTCGACCACGGTGTCCCTGATCTTCCGGAGGTTGCCTCCCCAAATTGGCAGCACTCGCACCGTGGCGTAGTGATCCAAAGGGGCCCCCATAGAGGTCATCGCCTCAACGTCCTCAGCAATCGTGGATGCTGTTTTGGCGCCGGCCTTGAAGTAGAGGGTTGAGTCACCCACGACTAACAGCTGCCGAATGCTACCTCTTCCCGAGGCAGGATGCAAGAGGGCAAGACCCTCATCGGCCACAGCCGCTAGGCGGGCAATATCCGACACTGTAGAATTGTCCTTGATGGCCAGTGACGTTGCTGTCTGGACCGGGACTTCATTGTACAGGTATCGGATGCCCTGGGTGTAGAAGGGGTTAATGCTGAAACGGAACTCTTCAGCAAACACAGCCCTCCACAAGGAGCCAATCCACCATGAGGCACAGTCCTCACGCGGGGTGTCGCCCTTCAGGTAGAGAGCGGCGGACATTGTGCTCGGCGTGGTCTTTCGACCCGCAATGCGGGGGCCGGCAAGAGAACTTAGGTCTACAACTTCTTTTGGGCGTACATTGTGGAGCTTACCACTCTTCCATGAATGAATGATGCTCTGGATGATGCCGTCCTTAGTGCTGTGATCATGCACCGCGTCTGGTTCATTTCTGACCTTGGTCTCTGCTGTAAACCCTGCAAACGAGCACATGAAAATATCATGTCCAATGCGTGCAAACTGATGTGGGCATCGAAGTGTCATAAAGTTGCGCAGACCTTCATTTTTGACAGAATCATGCACATGCAAAACAACGTCAATGCGGTAATTTTTCAGCAAACGTGAAATAGTCCTAACCGAACGAAAGCACTTATCACTGCCTTGACCCGGCAGCGACGCGTAAACAAGTACCTTTCCCCCCTCGTCGCAGAGGGTTTTGACTTGTCTGACGGTACGGTAGGCTTCGGTTTCGGTGAACTCATGGACATTGACTATTGTAACTCCATGAAGCTTGGGCACGGACGTATCCCCACACACAATTACGACACCTTTGGGCGCAGCCGGCCTCGGCGTAGGCCGGGCTGCAGCAGACGGCGAGCCAGTAGTTGGGCTTAGCCTGAAGCCCGAGTGTTGTAGCTGCTGAGACAGTGTCGAACCGATTTGGGGAAATCCATGAGGAGTATACGCAATGATTGAGTACCTGTTTCCAGTCCACGGGAGAACAACATGCTTGCTAGTCGGGGAGAAGAACAAAGGTTTGTCCTTCTTGGTGAAAACGGAACCCCAGATTTCGGAGCCATTGGGAAGCTGTTGTTTAGTTTGAGGTTGGTTCCCAAGCCCCTCAACCCAAAGTCCTCCGTCCTGAAAATCCCCGAATTGGATGGCAAGGTTCGTGCTGTCCTGGAGGTTTCGACTGTCAGTGTGGAGTTTCGACTTAGCATTCTTACTCGTTGCAAGGGACGCCCAAGTGAAGTCAGGACCAGCATGCTTGGCGACGAACGCATTGAGGAACTGACACGTTTTGGGGTGTTGTGTAGTGGAGCGCGTAAGTCCTTGCTTTCCACTGAACCCGCAGTACAGCTGCGGAAGTCCGACTTCTCCAGTGCCTCGGTCGCCAAGGCCTCAGGGTCCGGCCGACCGGTAACGGTGGCTGAAATTGAGGGTTTGGCTACCAAGTGGCTATCAGAATCCTTTCCTTTAGGGGACTTCTTCTGATCCGGGCAAAGCACATGGTTAATCAATCTAAGTGCATGCAACCACTTGGTCCTTTCGGCGAAGGGTTTGGTGAAGATGTCGGCAACTTGTTCGGAGGTGTCGGCATTAACCAGATTGAAAAACTTTCGTTCGAACTGCTGCTTCAACCAGCCAAATGAGATCCTTTGGGTGCGATCGGTGTGCCTTAGCTTCTCGCTGTCACCCTTCAAAAGGATAGTGATTGTGGCCTGGTTGTCTTCGAGTACCTGCACTGCGAACTTGTCGCTGAGTGCGACATTAAGGCCTTGAAGATCAGCAACAGAACGTCCTTGGGGGTTACCACCATACCTAATTTCATCTAGCTCAGGGTCGATTCTAGCGACAATATCATCCGTGTCAAAGCGAGCCTTCTGTTTCGGCCGAGCCTTGCGGCTGGCGGGGTCAACAGAAACGTGCTTCCATAGGAACAACCATAAGCTCAAGCTCGGGAGTCCCTGCGCTCTGACACCATGATTTGCCGACACGACTTCACTCTCAGTGCTCGACATCGTAATGCTAGTCTGCTTCTTTGAGAAAGCATTCAGAGGATAGTATGTGTTGGGCCCTACTAGGTACAATGCACAGCCGGAGGTAGACTTGTTGTCGTGCTCCCCGGACCAATCGGCATCACAGAATAACCACAACTTACAATCACTCACACGATCCCCGATGAAGCCCTGCATCTTAAGGTCGAGAGAAGAGTTGATGTAGCAGATTAGGCGGTGTAGTCCGACATCGCAGTCACGCGACCATTTGGTCACCCTAGAGGCTAAACTCTGTGTGGCGCGCAGGACATCCCACCTTGCCACGCGGGCTGCGAAAAGAACTTTCATTAGCACACGACTGGCAATGGGCTGTAGCCTGCCCCCCTCTTCTTCTCCTTCCGTGGGCCTTGCCACACGGTTTTCATGAAAAGGAGTAGCGGCATGCACGAGGGAGTTTTTGTCGACCTTCGCGAGTTCACAGTACCTTTCAACACAAGAGATGAGGAAGTCCTTCATGTCATACGTCATGACATTTACCGGCTTGGACATGGCTGGGATTGCTTCCTCACTGATGGAGTCCATAGCTTTAAACCTGCTCTGCTTTGCCTCACGCTTGGCTTCGGTTTTGGATCTAGCGGCAAGGGCATGCTTAAAGTCTTCGGGCTCAACAGTTGTGATAGGGAAGTAGGTCCTGCCCGTCCACCAAGTGTCCTGGCGCTTGGCTCCCTGCAAGTTGAAGTTGTCGTGAACAACCGATCCCCCCTCAACCTCAGTGAATCTTTCGGGTGAAATGTTCGGGAAACGCTGAACGTCATGTTCGTCGGGAACGTACAACCTTTTGCGAGGGTAAAGATGGTGGCGAATGACAGCGCCTAACTCTGGATCGACTTCCCAAAAGTCCTCCTTCCGAGTCGGCTCGGGGTTTCCCCCAGCTGCAGGAGCTGCTACCTTCTTGTCAAAGACATAAGCGAACGGATGTGCTTCCCTCGGCAACATGACCTTTGATTCCTCAAAATGATTGCACCCAAAATACCTGCCAAAAGGTTCAGGGGGATCTAAGTCTATGACATCGCTGATGGTTTTCCAGCCCTTGCTCATGTTTTCTGCCGGGCCTGCCATCTTGAAGTCGTCGACATAAACAACAAGAAGAAGATCAAGTTGTGGATGGTAGAAAATGGACTGCCATATCTCAGGCAAGACAGCGACCCACCCAGCAGAAGTAAGCTGCTTCGTACAGTGCTGCTCCCAAATCCCTCCGGAATCGGGATGACCGTAGAGAGCTAGCATCAGCGGGCAAACAGGGTCTTTGTATTTTGTCCACTCTTTTGGCCACCTGTTTCTAGGCAGCCTCACCCACGTCTCGACGCCTTTGAACAGGGCCTGCGTGTATGCTTGACGAGCATCGGCCTGCTGCTTGCTGTAGCCAGGCTGACTTCCGAAAACGTCAATCACCTTTGCGGCCTCCATGCTAGCGGGGCTAGATCCGAGTTCTGCAAAGATGGCATGATCGTTGTGTTCGTCGGAAACCCGGTTGCCCTGGAATACGCTTCGGCCCTTCCACTTGCGATCTGGGTGCCCTTTCGGTAGCTCGGACCCCTTAAGGCTGCAAATCTCAAAGATCCTGCCAAAATGTGCTTTCACCCCTTTCTTCTGGGCTTCACTAGCAACATCGGAGTACTCACGAACCTTCTCGGACAACCAGCACTGCTTATCAACAAGCTTTTGCCACTCTTTGACCAGTGCAGCTTGGGCATCAATGTTGCTGTTGATCTCCTTTTGTGATACAACTCTAGCAACAAGTGCGTACTGGAGCTGAGCGACCTCACAGAGCTTATCAAAGTACATTCGGCTGAGCTTCTCGCGATGAGGTTCCTGGACCCTAGGTCCAACGGGCATTGCTGGGGCAGCATCCCTACGCTTTCCCTGTTCTTCGGCTTCTTCAAGTTCAACCTTCCTGCGATACCTTTCGATGTCGGCCTCACGCTGGGTCCTAGACATGGAGGTCCAGAACTCAGAGGGAGTATCAGGAGGTCTCTTAGAGCCCCTCCTGTTTCGGACAAGTCTCACGCCATCCCAATTGTATCCCTGTGGTACCTTGGAACCATCGGGCATCCTGTTGGGATCATGAGGCTTCCATGTTGGCTTGATAGGTTCAGGGGCGCTACTGGAGCTCGGTTCGGGAGGAGCTAAGGGCTTTGGTTCCCCTACCTCTTTGTTTTCCTTCTCCCTAGCATCGATTTCGGCGCATTTCCGATCGAGCTCATCCAACGGGTCCTCTTCTCCTTCAGGGACGTAGTCGGCAAAAAGCTGTTCGATGAGATCATCTTCGTTGAGGTCAGTAGGCTTGTGCTGCTCAAAACAATTCTGATCATCAAGCGACGGAGGTCCTTTGTCTTCGATGGGGCTAGCAAGAGGGAAGGTAAGTTCAGTTCACCTAGCGGAAGCTCCATGCGTTTGACTCGGAGGATCTTGAGGCTGTCGTTCTCGAGGGCATCACGGCATCCCTTTACGGGCGCTACAAGGTATTCATCCTTCCAGATGAAGCCTGGCTGAACATGGTACCCCAGAAAGATGCCTTCCTCTCCGGTTGGTGCAAACTTAGAGCTACCTGTAGCATTTTGCTTCGGATTATTCCAATAGATGATTCTAGCGCCAAACGGTATGGCGAGGCCACTGAATTCCTCATCAAAACGATCTACCCAAGGAACAGTCTCAGTGTCGAATCGCTTCGAGGTGTTCAGGGCCATGGTGTGATGCTGTGCGGCCAAAGGCCACATTTTATCAGGAAGCCCCGCCTGGAGAAGGTTGGCACGAGTGCCTTCGAGGACAGTCCTGATCTCTCTCTCGATGACAGCCTTGTTTTGATCAACATAGGCTCGAGAGGTATTGTGCCTGCAGCCAATCCGTTTAACAGCATTTTCAAGCTCAAACGCATTATCGGAGTACACTATACCGACACTATCCTCAACTTGAAGAAAGCGCAGCAAGTTTTCGTAGCACTCCTCAGCGTTCTTGGAAACGGCCGGGTAAACATACCTGAAGTTGGACCAGACATCCTTAACCACGAATGCAACCTTTTCCCCCTCGAACCCAAAGTCTCGGAAGTCCTTCGTGATGACATGGTCAATCATGATGTGGTCCCCGATTTTCTTGGATGCGATAGTGCTCGATCCTCCCTTCTTTCGTGCATGAGGGGCCATCATTTTTGCCCTTTGGCACACTTTACAGAAAGGATTCTTGGGTCGATGGGTGAATTTGTGGGCAGCAGTCTCGGCTTCCAGCCTAAGCTTTTCGGAACCTCCTACGTCATCGGGCGCTTCATCGTGATCACTATCAGGTTCAGGTTCGGGATTGTCGGGTGGTCTTTCGAAGATCGAAATTGAGAGGATGGTCGGCTCTTCGAACTTAGCAACCTTTTGCGGAAGCTCTCTCATGTCGACCTTGTTCTCGATCTTGGACCATTCGCCTCCCCTGAAAACCCAAGTTGTCCTGATCACGAAGCTAGGATGTCTCGACGCAGGAGTCCTGAAGGCTTTGGGTCTGTGTCCGATGATTACCTTACGGTGTTCTTCAGTCGCAGTCCAACCCGTTTTGCTTAGCTGTTCTTTGGAAATGGCGATCGGCGGCACCTTGGAAATTGCATCGCGGACCTCAGGATCAAGGTGCTTACCTGGGTCCTCGTCTTGTTCGTCTTCACCGGCGGGATGTTCATGCGCAGCACCGGCGAGCCCGCAAGGGCCGCTATCTACTGAAAAAGCGAGCTGCCCCCCTGGCTGAACACCGGGGAGACAATGTTACTCTCCTCTTCGATAGCTGGAGTGGCAACAGAGCCTTCTGCGATCACAGGGACCCTGCCTTTGAGTTTGCACTTCAGCTTCCTGCCGTCGGGAGTGACAAAGAAAGGGACCTTCCCCGCATGCCAGTGGAAGTCATAACCCTCATCCATGCATCTTCGCCCGACAGAGCAGACAGGAGGAGTGCTTTCCAGTGGATAACACTCAACTGGGAGGCTCAGTTCAGGGATGTCGACTTTGACAGATTGATCCCCGAGTACTGGGCCATTCGCTGTGATTAGACTCACAGGCCTTGATGCAGTTTTGACCTCGACGCTCGGGTAGTGAATCCTCAGATCCTCCTTGCTAATGAGGTCTTCCTCGCTACCAGTGTCGGCTAGGAACTCTAGGCCGGGCACTATGCCTGAGCAGGCAGGTGGGGGGGTGCGTTCGCATGACTCACATGTCAGGTCTTCACACATATAACCACACTTAGTAGGTACATCGTTCGTCATGCTGATCACCAATGCCTCAAGTTGCTTAGCTTCGATCCTGGCACGATTCTGTTCTTTCATGCTCGGCTTGGGGCAGTCCTCGGCGGTGGCGTAAGCCACGCTGAAACGACGTTTCCTCCTGATGTGCCTGAAGCCATCACCTTCCACAGGAATGGCCTTCATGACAGGTTCATCACAGAAGGTGACCTTCAGTGGCTCTATCTTGAAAGTAGACTTGCCTACCCAGGCCCTAGAGGAGGGTTCCGGGGCAGTCTTCCTCCAGTTCCATGCCACTGCAGCAAAGCGAGGGTACTCTGGGAAGATTTTCTCTACCCTAACCTTGCTCTTAAGTCGCCGGACATTGATCGGGCAGTCGCTGCCTGGTGCAAACCAGCCTGTTCTCTCCACGCGATGGTGTCTGATTAACACTCCACCCTTGAAGTCGACCTCCCATGTGGGTGCTGCAGTTGCACCAGCTTGGGGCTGTTGTGCAGTTGTGTTACCTGGATTCATCTGGGCCAGGAGTCCTCGCATGCTAGAGCTCAACATGTTTGGCGTTACCACGTTCGGTGCAGAAGGTGCACTAGGAAGCACAGGGGCTTGTTGTTGTTGCGATTCTTCTGCGAACCTAAGTGCCCTTTCAGTGGCCAACAGCTTGTCCTCAATTTCGTCTTGCTGTTCTTTCGCAGCATCCAACATCGCGTCGAATTCTTCCCTTTCGGTTCTTTGGTAGACCTGGAAGTTTTCTTCGAACTCCGAGAGGAGGAACTGCGATTGTTGTGCAGCAAAACTGTTGAGTTGTTGATGATACTGCTCTTGCATCCTTTGGGCGAGGAGCGCCTCTGATTGTGAAACGTTTTGCTCAATGCTTGCAAATCGGGCTTGCATTTCGTCAAGCTCTTCGATTAATCCAAGTTCCCTGGTGGCTGACCGTTGTTCGAACCTCGCGAATCGCTCTTCGCACGATGCCATTCGAGTAGCATGTACTCTTTCGGCGAGTTCCTCAAGGTTCGAAACACCTTGTTCATTTGCACGGGCCTGTTCTTCCATGGCCAGTGTGTGCCTTCTCTCCGCTTCAATCTCTAAGAAACTTAGCTCCGTCCTAAGACGTGCTCGGTTCTCATCATGAACATGAAACACATTCGTCTGCGAAAAGAAGTTCGCCGCCATGCTGAGGTTCCGACCATCATGCATGGACATGTTAGCGAAGTTCACTGCTTGAGGGTACGACTGTTGACCTAGGTGCGTCTCTGGTGCCCCTGCTCGGCTTCCCGTTGCCGGGAGCAGCAGAGGTAGTCCTGTACGTTCTGTAGCTGCTTCTTCGGCAGGTACAAGTTCAGGTGAAGCATTCTCCAGGTTCGCATCCGCAAGCATTGTAGGCTATACGGCTGATAACCTATAGTTATCAGGGAAACTCCAAGGTGTAATCACAAGCACTGAGTTGAGAATACCGTTAAGCCATGCAGGAGCGAACGCTCTATTTTCTACTGCAGAGGGCTTGCGAGGTAATGCAACGGGACGATATGCACATGATGTTAAAATGCAAGGGTTATCGCAATGCAAAATTACAAAGACTTTGCGCACGCAGAATCCTGCAATCCTCACACGTTCAGCATGCAGTAGACTCTCTCAACCTGGCCAACGAAAGCCGTAGGATCCAGCCGTAGGTCCTCCACTCCGAAGTCGGGAACGGTTTATCTTGCAGAGCAAGTGCAAAGTGCACTTGGCTAACTTTGCACCATACTAAGCAAACAATGCTGCTCGACAGTCGCTACGACAAGCTGCCAAGGAACCCCAGAACGGCAAAGATATGGATGAGAACGGAATCGAACAACATCAGAACAAACTGCCGCTGCCATGGCTTGGCATAGCAATCTTGAAGCCGAAAAACCACCGATAAAATAAGTACGTCTTCAAAGTCTGCGAGTTGGACGAAGTGGATCCTCGCGCCTGAATGCATGCATACCCAACAAACCATTATGCTAGGGGGAGGCTTTGTCAAAGTTTGCTATTTGACTGAAGTCAGCGCAGGGTATTGGTTTTCTGTCAGAGCGCTATGTGACTGATGCTTGGCTTTCGACAGGGGTTGCATGGGATGCTTGATAAGGATCTCGCTTCGGCATGGAAGAACAAGCACACGCGTGGGGGGTCAGGTAGACTCTGAATTGGGAAACTGAAGACCGCCTCGCCTGGAGGCCGTCGCCTTGTGAATCTTGACAGGTTTCGCGTCGCACCGTTGGCGCATTTCATCATTGGAGAAACACGCGCAGCATGAGTCGAGTGGCTACTTGTCTTGACATGAATAGCATCCCACCAGACAAGCCCAGCACTAACTTGAGAAGCCGTCAATTGAGATGCAGGGCACAACATGCCACGGCTTATGAGTTTTTGATCGGAAGCTTTGCAAGCATGAGGGAACGACATTGAGCATCCCCACGACCCACAGCAAAAGAATCACCCCAAAAACATGCCCAGTAGCAAGTGAGAATATCAGCAAGAAGCTCAATGCGGTTTACGAAGTTCACGCCAAGCGCCATGGCCATGTCTCACTATCATAAGTCCGAATCTGGCTCGCCCCCCCGGAACACGAACATCTGGCGCAACTCTTGGAAAAAAGGGCCGCTTCTTCAAGCAAGTCTGCGAAGATCATTTTCGCCACACGTGCTCAGCATGCCAATGGAGTAGCTCCAGAACCATTGAAAACATCGCCGCTCTGGCTCCGATAAAGAAACAGCGCGGCCACACAAGCTTTTGTTGCCGGCATTGTAGTCTGCATTGGACCCGGTTGGCGAGCATCTTTGGTAGGCATGTTAGCCACGTCGAGCTGCGCAAAGCGCAGCAAGAACCAATGCTCCGCACGCCACGGCCAATATGATGTCCAACGTAATGTTGTTCGCCGTCTGGTCGTCGCCCTTGTCAACAAGGGCCATCTCTTGACGGAACCGCGCTGCTTTCTTGGCATACTTCTCTGCATGCCGATGCTGTGCTTGCAGCCGTTCGGTCTCGCTGTACGTCTTCTTCACCTGCCCAGAATACTGACTCACATCAATCCATCCCCTCCCCAATTGGCGCTGTCGGCCGGAAAGGCGCACCGCTACCTCAAGTGTGCAAGACCTTACATTTTTTTACACAAGGTCAACATTGCAGCTGGTGCCGAGAAAGCACGAGCATTGATAACATGAAAAGTCATGAAACACTTTTGTTCCTTTTCTTACCCTGCTCGAGCTTCGGGAAGTCACTGCAATCAAGGCGGGCCCGTCCTGCACCGTGCTGTGTTGTCTACACACGTGGCCAGGACCATGGGGCAATGGCAAACAAGATTTGCAGTCTCTGGAGGTTCCAGGAAGTGGGTGAAGGGCGCAGCTCGCACTGCGCGGAATACGGCGGCACAAGTGTGTTTTAGCGGTTGGACGAACTGGGAAACCTCCCTGTTCTGCGTGCGCGCGCAGCCACGCGCGTGTGCCGAGAGGCCGGGGCCAATTGCTTGCAGCATCCTCGTGTGTGACCTGAAACTTGTCGACCACCGGCACGATGACCACCTCATTGAGGCTATGGACTCTCTAAGTAGATGTCTGTCTCACCCTGAGTGGATTGTCCACACAAGATTGGCCTACTGGGGTGCTGACGCAGCAAAGAGGCGACCATCTCAAAAAAAAACACCTCATTGAGGCTATCGCTGGAGATGCTGGAAGGGTGCAACTTGCAGACGAGACTACCTTTGAGTTTGCACTTGGCCAGCAGACAGCCGCGGTGGCACGAAAGGAGGATGGTTGTTGTTGTGCCAAGGAGCGTGCCTGTTGCGAGCTCCGGCGCTCTCCGCGGTGACCCCTTGTCCTGTTTGGGTTTGAGGAGCTGGGGAGGCAGCGGCAGGTGTCGTCCATCAACGAACACCTGCGAACTGTCACGCGGAAGCTAATGAACGTCGGGTTTTGGCTGGAGATGTTTCCAATTGCGGGGATGCTGCAGGATCTGAGCACATCTGCGTGTGTAATCCGCACACAATTCGCGGGCATGAAGCTTCCGAATTTGTGGACTCAACGGTTTACGTTAAAACGTTCATCCATTTTTTTTCATCCAGACGTCGGTGGCCGTAGCAGGGCTAAAGTCGGCGACGGGCGAAACTTGCTATGTTCATGCTTTGCTGCCGACTGCTTCAACCCCGCCTGCACAAATGCTTTTTCACCAGCGTCGAATGTAGGAGTGTCGTCGCCACTGCTCATTTTTTGCCCGACCAGAAGTTTTTTTTCTTTTTTTCTCCTCTCGCGGCGGTCGTGATCCAGGTCCCCACACCCCCCCTATGTACACACGTCTCACCGAAGCGGCAGGCGGCTGGGCCCCGCGAAATCGAACAGCTCAAGGACATCATCGAGGGGGACCCCGTCCGGCGAGCTCGGCAGCGCCGGCATCGTCCAGACACCCAGGGCCGTGCTGGCAACTGCCCTCTGCACGGCGACCGAGAGCAGTTGCCCCACCATCGCCTTGCCCACCCCTGGGACGCCGTGGCACGCAGGGTTGCAGGGGCCCTCTGAACGCGGAGACGCAGGAGCTGGCGAACGAAGCGCTGGCACTCCTCGCCCCACCTGCCGCCCACCTCCGCCGCGAACACGACGAGCCGTTGCGGACCTCCCCGCAGGAGCGGCGTGGCCCCGTGCACCACCAAGTCCAAGCGGCGGCGGCCCGCAGGCGCAACGCCAGGTGCCGTGGTCCGGGCCAGCCACTGCTGTGGCACTACTCGGCCCTCCGCCCCGACCGCCTCGCGCGCGACCTGCACCCACGCGCGCTCAAGGACAAAGCCTCGGCGCGGCAGCAAGCCAGTACGCGGGCAGGCGACGAAGTGGTCACCTAACGCATCGGCCTGTCCATGGCAGCCGGGAGCTCCGTCGCCTCCACAATGCAGGGCGGTCAATGGTAGCGGCAGGCGGAGGCGTCGCCTGAGGGCAATGTGCATTATTTTTTTTAATCAAGTCTGGGGCCAGGGTCGCAGCTGCGTCAGCCGGTATAGCGGCGAGCCACATGCCCGCATGTTGCCCAAACTGAGAGCGAAAGAGGGCTCGCGCATCGGGCGCCATGGCCGGGAGCAGCTCGCGTTCTCGGAAGGACGTGTGGAGTGCGAGAACAGCGCGTCGCTGCCAGCCAGGGCCACCGAGCCCGAGCTCACCGTCTGTAGCCGGGACCTGGGCCCCGTCGGCACAAACCGCCCAGTGAGGCCGCTCATCCCAACCAGCCACGTCTAAGCGCTCCGTAGCCGCCGCCGCTGCCCGCACGCAGGGCGGTGCGGCGACTGCATCGCCTTCGAGCGCGCGCACGAGTTGCTGGGCGACGTCGGGGAAGCGTTGGCGCAAAACTGGGAGGGCATCTGCCCAAGCCGCCCAGTATGCAGCCGGCGCAACCCGCTCTGCAGCCAACAAGCCCAGGCCCCCCAAGCTGGGCGGCAGGAAGGCGCCGAGGCGCGCTGCAGTCCACACAGCCTCCGCACCCGGGCCTTCCCCACCAAGAAGGCGCGTGACGACGTCCCATATCGCGTCATCGTGGGCCCGGGCATAAGGGAGGATGTGTCGGGCGGGACGTTGCGGAGCAAATGCTGCGCCCGGGGCGACGCGCAGTAGACAAGGAGCAGCCACGCGCACTGGAGGTCCGGCAGGAGCGGCAATCGCCGCAGCAACTCGGCCTCGGCGCGCAGGCGCTCTTCGGCCTGGGACGCAACGAAGTCCGGGTGGCGGACGGAACGCCGAGTGCGACGAACCCACGCTGTTCGGGCGGCAAATGCCCCCGCCAGACGTCCGGGCCTAAGGCGGCAACGTCCGGCGGCGCTGCGCCTCCCTGAGCGTTGTATATTTGTGTCTTGCCGAGGTTGGCAGCGACGCCCGCGCCGCGCTCAACCTCACCTGCAACGACACCTCCCAGGTGCCCAGATCGCTCCGGCGTAGTCACGACGTAAAGATCGTCGAGAAACGCCAACAGGCGGTCGCCCTGTGCGAGGCGAGCAGCCGCCACCACGAGCGACTCGTGCTGGCCTAACGCATACAGGCCTGGCGCGAGGAGGTCTCCCTGCTCAATCCCCTCTGCTTGGGAGATTTCGTGGAAGGTTCCCTCATCGTCCCACCACAGAAAAGTGGACGTGCGGGCATAAATGGCTCGGGCGAAGGGCAGAAGTGCCGGCACCACCTCGCTGAGCTTGGATAGGATTGCCGCCCGGCTGATAGTATCATACGCACTGCGGCCGTCGAGGGAGACGACGGTCGCCCGCGGGTCGAACTCCACCGCAGAGCGCAGCATGGCAGCCAGGCTATCCGTGCCTGCACGGGTCCGCAACGCGAACTGAAACGGGCGCGTTGCTTCGTCGAGCTCCCCGGCATACGCGCGCGCCAAAGCACGAGAGACGAGGCGACGGAAGACATCTCCGGTGGCAATGCCTCTGACCCCTCCCTGTGGCTTGCGAAGGGCGGTGAGGCGCGACAAGGCCAGGGCGTCCAACGCAACCGGAGGAGCCTGCGCGCAAGCTGCGACATTCACCAGAAGTTCATGAGTTTGCTGTCATGTTAGAGCTGGCAGAGAACGCCGAATGAGCAGCCCCCCACCGCAGGAGCCGCAGTACTGTGCTGTGCATCCACACCGCGATCAGAAATGCCTCTCTGAGCTCGAGCTTGCGGATTCACGCTGGACTGCTGCTCCCGCCGCGAGCCGAGTCGCGCCGCGCGCAGCATGAGCAGACGCATAGGCTTGTACAGGGACCGGGGCTTGGGACGACCTGCGGAAAAAGGTGCGTGAGAAAAAAATCTTGTCCTCGTTTGCCTCACGCATGGCTCAGCGAAAACAAGTGGCGTTGAGCTAGCGGTGTAAGCTTCCGATATCTTGGAATGCGTTCTTGACCACCACTTCTTGCCCCAGGCTTTTTCCTCCCCAAAACCACCAACCACCGCGAGGGCTCGGTCAACATCATCGTCCAGAAGTTGCGAAGCTAATTGCGGTTTCATTTCGAGTTGTCGTACTCGTTGTTCCAAGCTTTCCCGCGCCCTGCGCTCTGCCAATAGGTCTGCGTGCATTTGCCCTAGAGTCTTTCTGACAATTTGAACTCCGTGTCTGCCGATTCTTCACGCAACATGCCGCGAAAAGCTGCAATGGTGGCTGCGCTGACCTCCACTCTGGACCTACTAGCATCCGAAACCGGCTCCACAGGCGGCACCTTGCAACGTGCCAGCGCCTCTCTGTCGGGTGTCCCCCCAACTGCCGCACGTTGTTGGAATTTGTTGTGTCCATGCTGCTGGCAAGCAACGGACACTTCATAAACCCCTTCTTGAAATCCATGCTCAAATCTTGCCATTGGGCACCCTGGCTGGGTGCATCCGAAATGGTCACCGCATCCTTGTATTTCTCGTATCTATCCCAAACTTTTATTCCAGGTTTCTTCGGGTTTTCGATCTGGAACTGCACTGTTGTAGCAGCGTTTTTGAGAGCAGCCATCCGCCGCACGTGCGCGCGCGAGCAGGCGGCCTCGCGCGACCAGCGGCCGCCTACCTCGCCACCGTAAACAACAAGGCGGCATCGGCGCGCCCCTTCCAGTTCAGGGTAGGTCTGGCGGCGCTTGCGCTGGGCGGCTTGGTCGAGGGCCAGAGCTTTGGGTATCTGCACCGGCCCGCCGGTTTTGCTAACAGGGCTGACTATGGTGGCATCGACGGCGAGCTGCGCACCGTGCCACAATGGCAGACAATTGCACACGACCTCGATGCGCCTGGCGTCTTGCACGGAGGCATCGAGGTTCATGTCGGCCAAACGGATGTTCTGGGCGACACGAGCGCCCGCCTCGCAGCAGACGCGGGCCAGCGCCCGCTCAAGCGGGATCGCCCGGGCGGGGAGCACCCAGCAGTAGCGCAGGCTGCGCGATGGTCGCCCCAAGGGTCGACCTGGCCGCGGCAATGGCAATGCCTGGGCGCCAACGGGGGTACACGGAATTGCGCGCTGGGGATGAGGACCTCCTCGTGCGTAGGCAACACGTGTGCGGGCCAGCCTGTGACAGCAGCAGCGC